CAATCTTGTTAGTTAAATGGTGTTTAATGGTTTTCACTATTCATTTGGGCAATAAAATTATGGTTGATTACAAATGTATATTGGTGAATGAAACTTGAGTTTTGCGGTAAACCACCTAACATGCTTACTGATCAAATGGGACTTAAACCCTAGAGGGGATGCAGTGTGAAGTGATCTTCTCAGGTAGATGTCAAACAACACTCTGCCACACTATCTACTGATCAAATGGGACTTAAACCCCAGAGGGGATGCAGTGTGACTGTGTGAAGTGATCTTCTCAGGTAGATGTCAAACAACACTCTGCCACACTATCTACTGATCAAATGGGACTTAAACCCCAGAGGGGATGCAGTGTGAAGTGATCTTCTCAGGTAGATGTTGAACAACACTCTGCCGCACTATCTACTGATCAAATGGGACTTAAATCCCAGAGGGGATGCAGTGTGAAGTGATCTTCTCGGGTAAATGTCAAACAACACTCTACCACACTAACTACTGATCAAATGGGACTTAAACCCCAGAGGGGATGCAGTGTGAAGTGATCTTCTCAGGTAGATATCAAACAACACTCTACCACACTATCTACTGATCAAATGGGACTTTAACCCCAGAGGGGATGCAGTGTGAAGTGATCTTCTCAGGTAAATGTCAAACAACACTCTACCACACTAACTACTGATCAAATGGGACTTAAACCCCAGAGGGGATGCAGTGTGAAGTGATCTTCTCAGGTAGATATCAAACAACACTCTACCACACTATCTACTGATCAAATGGGACTTAAATCCCAGAGGGATGCAGTGTGAAGTGATCTTCTCAGGTAGATGTCAAACAACACTCTGCCACACTATCTACTGATCAAATGGGACTTAAACCCCAGAGGGGATGCAGTGTGAAGTGATCTTCTCAGGTAAATGTCAAACAACACTCTAACACTATGACATTATATCTTAGATAGCCATGACATTACTTTTAAAAAAAAATCAGTACATGTATTTTATTTATCTGAAAAAGGCTGATGTTAGTTGTTATGTATATTTGAACACACTTTGAATTGAGAATGAGTGCCTCTAGTATTGTAGGACTTGCTTACCCTTCAAGCACCTGACTTCACCCAGGTAGTTAGTGAACTTCATGTTGCTTATGTTTCTGTTCAATGATTTAAGGGCTTTTGTGCTTAGTGTTCTGTTCAACGATTTAAAGGCTATTGTGCTAAGTGTTCTGTTCAATGATTTAAAGGCTATTGTGCTTAGTGTTCTGTTCAATGATTTAAAGGCTATTGCGCTTAGTGTTCTGTTCAATGATTTATGGACTATTTTGGTTTAAGTGTTCTATGTAATGATATGTTGACTGTTGTACTTAAGTTTTAAGTGCAATGATTTGTGGAATGTTATGCTTATTGTTGTGTGCAATGATTTATAGAATATTTTGGTTAGTGTTCTACTCAATGATTTATGGACTATTGTGTTTAGTGTTCTGTGCAATGATGCTAAGTGTTTTTGGTAATGATTTAAGAACTATTGTGCTTAGTGTTCTGTGCAATGAATTATGGGCTGTTGTTCTTAGTGTTCTTTGTAATGTTTTATGGACTGTTGTGCTTACTGTTCTATGCATTGATTTATGCACTATTGTGGATAGTGTTCTGTGCAATGATTTATAGACTGTTGTTTTTAATTTTTATGTGATTTTCGTTTGACCAAGGTGTGTATGACCTTTAACTTACAAGATTAGATTGCTTCTTTAGTATCCTGTATTTTTTCTGTATAAGTGTGTTTTCCCATATAGATAGTGTGATAATATGGCAAGGCAATCACTTGAAAACTATTAAGCCATTATGATATCTTTTCAAAATGATTGATCATAAACATTGCTAGAAAATGTGCCTACATTTAGTGAGTTTATGTTAGAAAAACTTTGACGCTAGACATCAATGAAAACATTAAGTATTATTTCTGTGTCAATTGAATATATTTGGTCTCTTTCTTCTATCCTTGATCACTTATGTCACCTCAGATAAGTGAGAAACTCATACTACATCTGACTGAATAATAAAAATAAAATATTGGATGAAGACAAATCAAGCTTGCTGACAAATAAAGTAATATTACTGCCGGTTACAACCCTGAAAAAGTTACAAGGCTGCACATAAAAAATTGGTTAATCACTGAATTATCCCCTATGGGATATCTGAAAAGAAATTAGAAACATAAATTGTCTTAAGATTTCAAAAATATAAAAACTAGAATACAATTTACTTGCCTCAAGTGCTATCTTGTGCCTGATGAGAGTAATAATCTCGTTCTTCAGCCAGATATCATTATCTATATCAATTGACCAATTCCATTAAGCTGTTTATACCACTCTTCTTTATATGGAAGTCTTTATCACTAAAAACAAGATAATAGTGGGTCGTGCAGATAATCTAGTTTATAATTCTGAAAACAACCTGACGAACACCTTGGCACAAATTCATTGTAGTGATTCAAATATTTCAAAGGTTTACCCACCTTCCAATGGGAATTAACGTAAAATATCAAACTTTAATGGCATTTTAGATCATAAAATGCATAGACAAATATTGGTATCACTTCAATAATGAAATGGGATTATAATTTTCTGAGTATTTAGTGTTCTTTTAAAGAGGACTCGAAATTGTATAAAATATGGCAAAAAAGGATGAACATAACGTGTATCCACGACTACAGGTTCATGTAAGTAACTAGCAGAATTTATCATAAAGTCAATTGATGAAATTTTGAAGGGCTTTTGGCAGTATGGAAAGAGATTTTTAACTAAGATATATGATAGTAAAGAGGAATGAATGCAGTTGATAAAATAATGTATAAACTGTAGTTGAAATATGCCCAAAATTGGAAGACGTAAACTTTACAAAACATGAATGTTGACAGGTGTGAACCAATATCTATTGAAAGAAAAAAAGATAAAATTTGACAAACCAATCTGTTTCAGAAAGGAGATAAAAAAAATAAAAACCCAAAAATTATTGCGATATACTAATTTTTTTTAAGATGAATTCCCTCTGATGTTGCAACTAAATTATATCAAATTTTAAAAGGATAAAAGCAGTTTACTGCAAAGTAGTTACCACTAGTTATCTAACAATTTATTCACATTGCCGGTTTAAAATTTAAAATTATAAGAAAATTTCCCATAACAACTAAGGAATTCAAAGCATTTTGTAAGTAAAGTAATACTTATAAAAATCATTCAGATTTAAATGTATAACCAATGTTTACATATTACTTTGACAGATAAAAGTATTCAGTTTTATGAATAAAGAGTAAAGGACCAGTTTGTAATATCTGTGATAGTATTGAACCAGTACACACATGGATTAAGTTTAAGATCAATTTTCAAAAAGAACATTTGTATGTTCAAAATTGCTGAATTACATGAACGTGATTTCATTTTAGAATTGGCATATCTGATCTCTCTCATCTTATTATTTATAATGAAAAGGAAAGAAATATCTCATAACATTTAATAACAGGACATTGTATGTTATTGTGGTATTTCTGACAGTTAATGTCCTATTAGATTGTTTTGTGATTTTCAATTGTATATGTAACTGTTAGCCACCAGCCTAGTTTAGTGTCATAATAAGAGTGTTGGTTTTGTTGGTCAAGCTCGCCAAAATATTTTCCTTTGTGCCTGAAATATCTGCCTTTTGCTGTAAAAAATTGTGCCAGAAAACCCACTTTTAAATCACAAAAATTATTTGACCTGATTGAGTTAGCATTTTATAAGTTATGGGACAAGAAGAAAAAAACAAAAGTGCAAAAGGAATGATTTCATTGCAAAGGTTTTAAAAATATGTCTTAAGTTGACACTTGAACTTGACTATGTTTATGTTATTTAACATGAAGAACTAGATAATAAGTCAAAGCATTGACATTGTTTTTCTGGACTCACCAGGGTAAAAATGAGGATTTCATGGACTTGCCTTAAATATCTGTATTTCTGGATTTACCACGGTAGAAATGAGGATTTCATGGACTTGCCTTAAAATATCTGTAGTGAGAACCCAGATCTAGCTTATTGGTTTTGTCTTTTGAAAAATTCAGTGTTGAACTTGATTGTATATATCTTCACTGGCCTGTTATATGTGTAAAACTTGTTAATACTCTATGCATTTTAGAACTTGTCTATTATAGGAGACTATGTTGACCTCTATATATCTTTTCTGATTTAATTATATTGTTGGGTTTCTACCACATCTCCATTTATTATACCCCACGCAACGAGTTGCGGAGGGTATAATGTTTTTGACCCGTCTGTCCGTCCGTCAGTCCGTCAGTCCTGTTTCTTGTCATCGCAACTCCTCTCAAACCACACAACAGAATTTCACGAAACCTTTATAGATAATAAGGACATACTATGTAGTTGTGCATATCGACAGGAAATTACGATTCAATTCTTTTTCTAGGAGTTACGCCCCTTTGAACTTATTTACTTTAATGTACTACTGCAATAGTTTGTTATCGCAACTCCTCTCAAACCACACAACAGAATTTCATGAAACCTTTTCAGATAATAAGGACATACTACGTAGATGTGCAGATCAACAGGAAATTACGATTCAATTTTTTTTCAAGGAGTTACGCCCCTTTGAACTTATTTGCCCAATATACTACAGCAACCTTTTGTCATCGCAACTCCTCTCAAACCACACAACAGAATTTCATGAAACTGTGTAGATAATAAGGACATACTATGTAGATGTGCATATTGACAGGAAATTATGATTCAATTTATTTTTCTGATACAATTTTTTTTTTCTTACACTTATTTTATTTCTCCAATGACAATGTGGGGACGTGGGGTATGTGAGCGTGCTCACTAAGGTTCTTTAATATATGACCAGCATTAATTGCTGTCACTGAGGTTAATACTTCACCCACCTTATTTTATTTCGAGTAAAGAATGAACTTAGAGTGACCTTTATTTTCTTATTTCATTTTGATATTATTTACCTTTAGGGAGACCATGTGTGGCTGGAGCCAGAGACGAAGGGAGAATTTGTTGTGGCAATTGGAGGTAGGGTCAAGTTCACCCAGTCTGGTAAGATCCAAGTGATCGATGATGATGGCAAAGAAGTATGGCTGGATGGGAAGACACAGATCAAACACATGCACCCAACATCAGTGGAAGGAATCGAAGACATGATTGGGTTAGGTGATCTAAATGAGGCTGGAATCCTGAGGAATTTGTTTACAAGATACATGGAAAATCTTATATACGTAAGTATAGTTTATATATCACTCATTAATTTAAACTTCCACCATATAAATTTTTACAAGTGCAGGACCTGTAGGATATTTTGACTTTGTATTCCTTACTGGTTTAGTACCAGTTACTGTCAGAAAATGTGTATTCCCAAGTACCTGTTATAAAAAACAAAAAGCTTGGCATTTCACTGTCATTATGGTTCCAAAAAATCCAAGTTTTTACAAATGAAGTACATTTTTTGACTGAAGATAACACTAGTATGCCAATTTGAGTAACACTTTTGTTATTAAGTAAAAGACTTTTTGACAGTAACTGGTCCTAAACCAGTAAAAAGAAAGTTTTATACCTACTTAATTATGTTGCATTGAGAATCTTTCAGACTGCAAAAATTCTGTTCCAAATCTACAAAATGAAAGGAGGATATGGTAAATCTATAATTATATAAACTCTACATGAAATGAAAGCTGACAGTATACAGAAAATCTAAACTACAAGTACTTTTTAAACTAGAAAATTTTATAAACTAAGAAAATTCCAAGTTGAAATGTAATGTTAAATTGCTTGATTTTAAATTCTTTTTGTAAATGATACAGGTTATTTGGTGAAATGATATGTGTTTTTACTCTTTGACTTTACAGACATTCACAGGTTCCATCCTTGTAGCGGTTAACCCATACCAAGTTCTTCCTATCTACACCAGTGAACAGATTAAACTGTATAGCGACAGGAAAATAGGAGAGTTACCTCCTCATGTATTTGCTATAGCAGATAATTCATACTATAACATGAAACGATACAAACATGACCAATGTATTATAATCAGGTGAGAGCTACCTCCCCTTAGCATGAACCAAACAGTCATGACCAATGATAAAAAGATAAAAGTTATCTTCCCATGTATTTGCACAGCAGATAATTCATACTATAACATGAAAGGATATAGACATGACCAATGTATTATAATCAGGTGAAGCAAGCAAGCCAACATTTGGAATGATGCTTGTAAAAAAGTCTAGGCATTTAAATTATCATATATGAAGCTCCATAAGCAGTGGTGTGGGAAGGGGTTCTTCCCCTAAATCCAACTCTAGTAAATATGATGTTCTTAAACTGGAGTAACCTTATAAGATTTCCATTTTATTTATCTCAGATCTGACTGGTTAGGTTTGGATTTTAAAAAGATTGATGTAATATTAAAACTTTACTTCATCACTCCAACTTTAGAATATTTCATTGATCTTTTAATCAAATTCAGCAGTTTCTGATAGAAACTGATGGTTTATACAGTTGTCAGTTCTTTTTGCATTAAGCATTGATCATTGTAGGAAATATTTGCCAAACTATATATAATAATAAGCATTTTATTTCAGTGGTGAATCGGGTGCAGGTAAAACAGAAAGTACAAAGCTAATTCTACAGTTCTTAGCTGCTGTCAGTGGACATCATTCATGGATTGCTCAACAAATTCTAGAGGCTAACCCTATTATGGAAGGTAATAAATCTCTATCATAGATCAACTATATATCATTCATGTTAAGTATGGAGGGATATTGATTTTGTCCTGTCTATCTTGCTGTCTAGCTCTATACAACTTTACTTTACATAGAAATATCATTTTACAGAAAAACTACAAACAAGGTCTGATTTGAATGAGATTACATCATAAGACAAACAAATCAGATAACAGACATCATGATCAGCAGTAAAAAAACTTTTTGTCATTCTTTCAATTAACCATAACAATATTGGGATAGGAATCAAAAAGGCTATACTAAGAAGAAACAAGATATGAATGTTTTCATTTAAATTAAAAATTTTACCATTCAAAATTTCAAACTAATTCAACCTAATTATGCATTGACTTTTCTGGTTAGATAAGAATTCTTGGCAGCTATAATCTCTATTGTTTTTCTGTTGACCAATGATCCTAGTTCCTGTCTTTGCGCTAATGAAAATTTACAGGTTCATTCTACATTCTTCTGAGAAAAATACACGAACACTGAAAAAGTTTAAGGAATTAATGGCATATGACTTACATTGAATCTAAATTACTAACTTAAATATTGAAAATAATTGTATTTCAGCCTTTGGGAATGCCAAGACCATTAGAAATGACAATTCTAGTAGATTTGGGAAATACATAGACATTCACTTCAATGAAAAAGGAACGATAGAAGGCTCAAGAATAGAACAGTACTTGCTAGAAAAGTCAAGAATAGTTAATCAGGCACATGATGAGAGGAATTATCATATATTCTACTGTATGTTGGCTGGACTGTCAGCTGATGAAAGGAAACAATTAGATCTCAAAGATGCAACCCATTATTACTATCTAACACAGGTATGACACATGTAAACTAAATCTCATGGATCATTAGAAAGGAGAATTTGAAAATACCATTGACACCAAGTGTCTAGCTCTGAAAGAAAGATTTGACAAGTTTTTGATTGTCTGCAATTGATTTACAAATATTCTCTGCGAAACTGAGCTCAAAAGACCATCTGTCTATCATTTATTGGCAACTCATTCAGTCATACTTTTCGAACAAGAGACATAAAAGGAACCACACCCACTAGACTACAACTAGAAAATAAACGTTCAATGGTATTTTTAAATGGAATGTATAATCTTACATATGTAAGGCATACATTAAGACTAGATCTCAGGGATATTTCAGCACCTAAAAAGGGAAATGGGATCTCCAGCATGTAAAACAACAGGATTTTCTAATTTTAGCTAAGAAATGAGCACGTTGAACCCCATTTTTTCCTTTTACAAAGGACTACATGGACAAAATCCACAAGAAATCTTTTCTGTAAAATATGCCCTTAAACAGAGAGATGTCTCTAATTCTAAAGATTTATCCAGTGTGATACATGTAGTATAAAAACTGTATCCAAGAATTGTCAAACACAATTTTTCATCTCAGCACGCGAATTTTGTTGTTTACATTGAAACAAATGTGGTCAGCACAAATGCAGGTGATTGCTTAAATTACTTGATAAATTGTGTTCAATTATGGGAAACATATGTAAAAATAGCAATGCGTATATTTATATGATAAATTGTTTTACATTTTTTTGTAGGGTGGAGACATAAATGTTGAAGGGAGGGATGATGGAAAAGAATTTGCTGACATCAGATCAGCTATGAAAGTGTTGACATTTAGTGACGCAGAAATCTGGGAAATATTCAAAATTCTGTCTTTCCTTCTTCATATTGGAAATATAAAATACAGTGGTAAGAAAGCAATAGACAACTTTCGAGTTTGATGCATTTCCGTCAAAAACTTTGGTTTTAGTGAACATCATCCGTGCGTTTAGGGGCGTCGTCACTTTCGTTCCAATGTTGAGCGAGTGGTTGGAAAATTATAAAGCTATATGGCATGAATTATTCGGCAAATTGAATTCTCATAATTGTCTTTCAGCACTACTGTCATTAGGGAATTGTGATGAAGTACCTACAGAACAAATATTATTTCTAGTTTATCCTGCACAATAACGATCACTAAGACGCTTGATGAACGTTTATAGTGCAGGGATGCAGGTGATCCCCTCTATCTGGTAAATGACGTCATAAAGGCGTGCATAATTGACGAGTTTTTTCCGGTGACGGACAAACTCGAAAGTGGTCTATTCTATAGTAAGATTTGTTGATTAAGAACCAGATACATAGATACTTACAATAAAGATAATAGAAGCTTATAATGACATTGATATTAAAAGCCTATGGCAAAGATAATGTAGAACAAGGATTGGAAAAAGGAAAAATCTCTCTGTAGGGCACATACACCACATAATAGGAATTCAATAAATTATCATAATGTCTATTTGAACTTGTTCTTTGTCTACAAACAGATGGCATGTGTATTGTTATGCTGCTATTCTTCAAAACAAAACAATATCTTACTTTTTGAAAAGCTTTTGTAAGATTGAACATTGGGATCTACTTAGGCAGTATGTTGTCTGTGGTCCTTAACATAGAAAGGAAAGTTGACTCTTTAGGATATATTTCTGGCTGTTGCAAATTTGTGCATAAAGGGGTAAAAAATGCATAATAACTTAATGAATAATTTGCTGTATTGAGAAAAAGATGAGGTTGAATAAAAAGGTTATTGTGTTCAGAAATTTTGAAGTAGAAATATCATATATATGAAAATTCAAAATATTACATTTTTAAAAACATTTCAGAATATTATTCTATATATGATTGACTTAAGATCTACTGATATATAGCCATGGTCATTTTAAGTTTGAATTTGATTAGTATATAAAAAAGTTGTTTCTCCAATAACCAGACAAATAATTGCATCTCGAGCTGACTGGTAAAGATTGATTGGGTCTGCTGTATTTAAATATTGATTAATGACATTGCATATTTTTTTGTTTTCAGAAATTGAAATGGACAATATTGAAGCTAGTGAAATTATAGATATACAGTATGTCAACAAAGCTGGCAAATCATTAGAGGTAAGAAATAGTATAATAGAGTATAATGTTAAATACAATTATTACATTGGTAGCATTGAATTACATTGATTTCCCAGTCAAATAAAAAACGATAATTTCACATGTGAAATAATCGTGGTTATTTCACTCTCTGACGTCATACAACAATAGGCGTTGTCAAGACGTCGATAACGTCGGATCAAAACAAATTGTGAATGCGTAGAAAAAAGATATAGTTCCTTACATTTTCTACATTAATTTCATTAAAAAAAGCCATTTGCCAATGTAATAAAAAGAATAACTAATCAAAGAATTCAAATATCGAAAAATATTCAACTCGTGACCGAACAACAGTGATAATTAAATCATGCGCTACGCGCATTCGTGAATTAATGTGTTGTTTGGTCACTCGTTGAATATTTTTCTCTATTTGAATTCTTCGATTAGTTATTCTATAAATAATTTTTTCCGATATTGCATTTACTTAATAAAAAATCTGTTACAGTAGAAAATTATTATTATATTGTAACACTTAAATTCATGGTTCATTCATACCTAAAGAATCCACAGAAATTAGTATCCACAGAATAATAATAAATCTATAGTATATGAAATAATCTAAAAGCCGCTAGATTGACAACAACACTTAAGTAATCTGCAAATTTATTAAGTCGACATGTTTCGCCGATTAGATCGGCGTCATCAGGACAAAGTACAAATAAAAGTATTCTCTGAAGTACTAAAATGCGGCATCAAGTTTTTTACGTCATAGTGTTCTATTATTGTCCATGTTGTTATGGGTTACTTATGTATTGAATGTATTTAGTGAAAGAAAATGAAATATGTTAATACAGTTATGCAGTTTTTTGAGAATAAATATATAATAAAATAAAATAATTTAAAAATTAAAATGTTTTTATCTACTGTTTGTCACTGGTGAAAATGTTGTATATTCCTCGGACTGTCACTTGGCTCATCCAGTTGTTTTCTGTGGGTTCATCTCTGCATACTGTTTGTTGGCTTGAACTCTGTACTGGTCCCTTGTATGTTTTGTAACAGGTTGTAGGCTGGTAAGTTGGTACTTCTTCGACAAGATAAGACTGTTAGTGCTGTATTTTGGCGGTCCTGTTGTTTTGACATATATAACATCATCATCTGAATCACTGAGTTGTAGATCTTCTTTAAGTATATCCATGGATGGCATTTCTGGTGTCTCTTGTATTTTGATTGGAGTTGGGGCAGTGTATTTAGGTGGCGCTGCCAAGATCCTGAATTTTGGTGTCATTTCATATTTGGTTAATGCTTCTACAGGTGGAACCCATTTGGCGACTGGGTCAGCTGCTGCTTTTGGTGTTGCTGTTTTCTCATTAAAATCTGTTGTTGGTTTCTCCTGGTGTTTTGTAGTTATGTGCTTCTTTGCTCCATGTTTCCTGGTGAATGTTGCTGGGCAATGAAGGCATTCAAAAATTGTGACCGTTGGTTCATGAAAAGTCTTGTGATGTCTGCGTAGTGTACTGATGCTGGCGAATTTTTTATCACATTTTAAACATTGGATTCTTGTCTTTAAGTTTTTTCCACCAGATTCTCCAAAGCATTCAACTTTTCTCGGAGTTGTTTTGTTTGTTCAGCAGTCCTTCAGTATATGAAATAGTTACTGTTTTAAAAAAAAAATAAATAGCAATAAGCCTACAAGATATCAGTTAGGTGTTCAATAAAGTTGAATTAAACTTACAACATTTAATCCATTTGAATCACTCTTCTACATTAAACTTGATAAGGAAAGTATATATGTAATTTGGCACCAAAAAAAAGAACTAAAAAGAATAGCTGTTAGTGTCAAAGGTCAACTCATCATTGGAAGCTGTATGTCTGTCCGTACACACATACGCCCCAAAATTGGTTTTCATTCTCTTAACTTTAGTTTGCCTCAACCAAATGTTATGAAACTTATACACAATGCTTTTGACCACAAAACACAGATCAAGTGAATTTGGGTGGAGTCACTTTTACTGTTCTAGAGTTATGTCCCTTTACAAATGGAAAAATTGCTGAATTTTTAGTCTGTTCCCTATATTAAGTTTGCATCAACCAAATGTTATGAAACTTATACACAATGCTTTTCACCACAAAACACAGATCAAGTTTGAATTTGGGTGGAGTCACTTTTACTGTTCTAGAGTTATGCCCCTTTACAAATGGAAAAATTGCTGAATTTTTAGTCCATTTCCCTATCTTAAGTTTGCCTCAACCAAATGTTATGAAACTTGTACACAATACTTATTACTACAATCTCAGATCAAGTTCGAAATAGGATGGCCTCACTTTTACTGTTCTTGAGTTATGTCCCTTTAGAACATTATTATGCAAGCAGGGGGCATCATCTGTGTCCCATGGACACATTCTCCTTTCTTTTTTTTCTTTTTTTTTTTTATCAAATTACAAAATAAATGCGACTCAGAATTTTGTCAAACTGTGTGTAACAAATCATGGCTAGTACTAAAGCTCTGAATAGTGGATGAATGATATCCATGGAGATTATGCATCAACTAACAGTGTTATCATTCCGCTAGTGGCAGATTAGAGTGAAATTTACTGAGTTTGCTGCTTTTGAAGTTGTTTTCTGGAATACCTTCATTAGTAATTCTCTTGAGAGAAAGTTGAATGAGCTATATTCTGCCAATGACCACTTCTATATAAAAGAGTGTTAGGAATGATCTACTGGATTAGGGTGCTATTTTCAGCTTTGTGGTATATGATAAGGTTGAGAAATTTAATAGGAAATATATCACAAGGTTACTGATTAAATCATAAATATCTGAAATTATCCAATGTCAACTTATTTCAAAAATGCAAATAAAAACCACTGACGTAAATACATCAGATATTTGTCTAAACAATTTATCTCTTCATGAAATAGCATAATCATGATGGCTATAGATCTAATTTTGTAAAAAAAAGTATATGATAGGCTATGTTTTTTTGTTTGTTATTCAAAATATATGAAAAGATTAGGGTATTGGATGCACAAAAGGGTTGAAGTGAGCATGAAAAAAACATAAGATAGACACTGAATGTTGTACCGGTTACAGGCTTTGAAGATATTTTCTTAAGTTTTGAAAGTATAAAACTTATGATACTGTGTTTTTGGTGATAAAATAAAATAAATAATAAATCTATTTCAAAAATAAAGTTTTTAAACTTGTAGGTCAGAGCTCAAGATTTGATAGATGCATTGACAACTAGGACAATCATTACACGAGGAGAAAGTGTGACTGTCACCATGGCACCAGAAGGGTCAATTGATGTCAGAGATGCCTTTGTGAAAGGTGTCTATGGTAGAATGTTCGTGTGGATTGTAGACAAGATTAATTTGGCCATATACAAACCTAAGAAATCTCCAAACCAGTATAGATCTAGTATTGGTGTGCTTGATATATTTGGATTTGAAAGTTTTGACCACAACAGGTACTTTTTTATGGAAGTTCAAATCTTTTATATTATTTATATAGTATTGATGGTAATTAAAAAGTAGACAGGTGCATTACTACTTGTTGCATGCAAATAAGATGATGTTTACATGCTTAAACTACACTAACTATCAGGTATTATTTATATAAAGCATTTTGTGTCCTAGCTGTTAAAAATTCATAATTTTGATCTGTAGGTTCATACAACTACATTTATTCTGACAGCAAAAAGGGAAGAAATTACAAGGAAATGTATACTACACAGGTCATCCTGTTTTACAAATTTCAACACATTAAGGAGGTACATAACACTACAGGGAGATAACTCTGTAAAAATTGGCTGAACGTTTTAATCACTTTCTATTGTTAAGCTTCTCATTATCAAGATTTGTGTTTGTCAAACAGCTATATATCCAATGAAATTTTTCCGATAAAGTGGGTGGTTCAAGTTTTTTGAAATTTTTATATTTAAGGGTCAAAGTAAATATTTTGTCAAAATTTTATGAAAATTATACAAGCCAAATAATTTTAAGTCAAGGTGTTTGATACCACCTTAACTTGTCAGAGTGTAATATAGTTTCTGGAACTGTGTGAAAAGGAAAGTAGATACCAAGGGGGCAAACAAAAACCAAAAGTCAAAAGAAAAACATACCACACAATGGCCACAATGTCAAATAGACAAACAACAGTATGTAAGACACTACACAGAAAACTAAAGATTGGACAACAAGAATCCCAACAAACACTGAGGATGAACTCCGTTGTACAGTGCCAAGTTTATAGAAAATTGTGATTTTACTGAGTTGCAGTAACAGATAAATCATCTTACTTCAGAAAAAAAAAACTTAGAGTGGGTGACGCATATTCGCCGCAAAATTCGTTCATTTCCACCTACATCTGACCTATATTCGAATATTTGAAACTTTTTATGTAGGTTTCAGAAAGTTTACTATATGAAAAAAATGTTTGATAAAGGAATTCTCTTCAAAACGTTGGTTAAATGTTTAAAAAATGAACGCAAACTCAAGAGGAAATCAAGTTGTTCTTGTACCACGGGGGACACATTTTCGAAGCAATGTATGATATGACCATCCCCATTATCCTTGTATATTATAAAAACAATTGTTTGCAATTACATGAATTAGCTTGAGAGATCATTCCTATATGATTTTTCTAACAGATATTTACTTTATGACTGCGCATGCGTGCCATATAAATCTTACATAATTGCCAAAATCGTTCAAAAACACCTGCGTATTTCTTTATATGTGCGAATAACATTGGAAATGGGGTAAAGAGGCATATCAACAGTTCGAACATTACAAACAGCGTTTAGCATCTTTTTAGGCAAGTATTGGGTAAAGGCACACGAAATTTAAAGAAAAAATTAGCAAAAACGGTGAAAATGTGTCCATGGCGAATATGCGCCACCCACTCTACTTCTTTATTTAACTTTTTTAAGTATGGCTTCATTTTATTTTTCAGCTTTGAACAGCTGTGTATTAACTATGCCAATGAAAATCTTCAGCAGTTCTTTGTTCAACATATATTTAAACTTGAACAGGTTTGTTTTATGTTAATTCGTTACTTTTAATTATTTTGAAAGTACATGTGGTTTTTTCAAACATATCTAATAAATCTATACAATGAAGATAGAGGACATATTATATAGCACCAACATATTTCATACAGAACGTAACCAAAAGTTCATGTACAATTATAGATTATTATACAGCATTTTTCATATTTGACCTTAGTATCAACCAGAAACTCTCATAATGGACCGAGGGCTTTAGCCCAGGGCTTCCAAAATTATTTTTAGCCAGCCGGACATTTTATATATTATCCCGATTTTAATCCCTTAAGACTAAATAAATAAAAGGCAATTATGGTAATCAGTTGCCGAGTTGGCCATCCCAATGATTGACATTAAAAAAAAAAAACGATATTAAACTTTCTTTGATTCAAATTCGAAGTTTTGACGTAAACTGTTAAATTGGCAGTGCATCATTAGAAGTGTGCAACATCAGCGTACTTATATCTGCTTAGACTCTTTATTTGTGCAAAATAACATTGTCAAAAACTTTACTTTCGTTTTTAAATCTAAACCGGATGTTATCTTGACAATGGTAAAACATGGACCAGAGACCGATACGTAAATTCCGTGTACGTTTGCAAAGCATGAATGAGTGCAAGTAGCTCTTTCTATGTTATTTCTTCAAAAAAATATTCGAAATAAACGTAAGATAAAGGTATCAATGACAATTTAAGCATTTTTTGAAGAAATTAGGATGCATAATTAAATTTCACACCTGCGCACATGCGCACACGTGTACTAGTTCAAACAGAGACATGTCTCTGGTTCAAACAACGTGGTTATGACGATTTTTCATTTTCACCTTTTTAATTTTTTCATCAAATCTTATTTGTAAACGTATTTCTGATAATTTAAATCTTTTGAACTAAATTAATTAGATGCAAACCGCTGAAATGTAAGAAATTAACTTTAAATAGACTGATCAATGTCCGGTTCAAAATAGTTTACCTGTCACCTGAACAGGTAAATTTCAGCTGTTCGACAACTAATTAGCCTTGATTAAAATGAGAAGGTATTACAGTAGGGGTTGTTTTGATAGTGCTTAATGATCATGTCACTTTTATGACTGGAAATGTGTGGCTGTTAAAGGCAAAAGGTTGGGTCAAAAAGATCGCGAATTGTGTTAAAATGACCGTCTCTTAAGCCTTGAAAACTAAAAAGTAGATGTCTGTTTCATGCTTTGCCCAGCCGGACTTTTACCGGACATTATACAAATGTCCGGAATATATGACCGTTTTGGAAGCCTTGCTTTAGCCCAAGGTCCTGATATGGGTTGAGGGATAATACTAGGGCTGATATGGAAAAAGCCATATGTACCCCCTAATTATAGATTATCAATGTTTTTTTCAAACTAGAGAGTGTTTCTCGACAGCAATCTCATGGAAGGATGACAGCCCTGAGATGAGATGTATCATTGTGTTCTCACTCTACTGGTCTGAGAAAAACCATTCTAACACGAGTAGTGTGATATGAAAAATTATCACAAAAAAAAATTTCAAAGCAAAATTTTAGATAATAGCAATAATAATCTATTTATCACATATTTAGCCTATGAAAATGGAATGAGAAAATAGCATAATTAATACTTATATCCTCCTCTGTTAATAAATAAGATGTAAATTATTTAAGATTTTTGTCACTACATCATAATTTGTCATGTTAATGTTACTTAATTAATGTCATGTCAATACACATTCAATGTGTGTAGATATATATTTCATTATAAATCTTGCAAAGTCAGTTGTTCTTTTATCTTTTGCATGTCAACAGAATTTTGTTCTTTATTTTTGTAACTATGAATAGAATTATTAAACGTATTGCAGGTGAAGAAAATTTTTCTTTAGTTTTAGTAAGTAAAAAAAATTCAAAATACACAGCACAAATTTTATTTTCAGATTTTTTTTTCTCTCAAATTTGTGGATATAAATTGTAAGTTTGAAGAAACATGTGTGAAGTTTTAGTGTGATATACCTCATTTCTTTTTTTTAAAGATGTGCTTACTGGAAACTACACTACAGAAGAAAATATATAATTTTGATGGTATATAATCAAATTTGATGGCTTATTTAGAATTCAGCAATAAATAATTGATATATTTAAATGTTTTAACAGGAAGAGTATAATAATGAAGGCATCAGTTGGAAACACATAGAATTCATTGACAACCAAGATACACTGGATTTAATTGGTGCAAAACCCATGAACATCATATCACTGGTTGATGAAGAGAGTAAATTTCCTAAGGTAAGACCTTAAAGAAAAGGAAATTTGGGTTATACAACAATGAGACAGTAACCCACCATCACAAAAAACTCAGTCTTCAACAATAGACTAGCATATATATAAATTGTCAAGGTATGAATTACCAAGAGTCATGAAAAGTTGTGAATAAATTCAAGATATGTCATCTATGCTAAATTCTCTAAATGACTAAAAAACATTAAAATATAACTAAAGACAACCATTGATTAGAGTCCTGCATTTAGACATGTACATAGACATGTTCTTCTACCAATTTCAATGTTCCATATAAGTTTCATGAATAAACTCATTATAGATACCAGGATAAAAATTTTGTTTGCCAGACGCTTGCTTTGACTACAAAGGACTCATCAGTAATGCACTAATCAAAAAGTTAAAATAGGGCAAATAAAGAACTAGGTTGAAGAGCATTGACAACTCAAAATTCCAATAGGATGATGGAAACATGTTTACATAAAGTATTCTTCTCATTAGTATTAGTAATGAATTTGTCCTTTTGTCATAATATAAACATTAAAGTTATTAATATTTATTTAAACAGGGCACAGATCAGACTATGTTGAACAAACTGCATCAACAACATGGTACTAATAAAAATTATATTAAACCTAAAGCAGAAATCAGTGTCATGTTTGGTCTCAATCACTTTGCTGGACTGGTGTTCTATGATTGTAGAGGTATGGTTATTTCAAAACTAAAATTGTGTATCCATTTGAATTTTGCATATGTAGTTTTAGCAAGAAAAGTTTATGATGAGTTTCAAAAGAAAGATAAAATATTTGTCACTTACAAATATAATCGTATTTTGTAGTCATTTTCTATAGTGTATGTTGTAAAGTAAGCTGATTTTAAAACCGATCTTTTCAAGTTACATAAGCTATCATAATTTGCATGCATGTATTTTGAAAAGTTGATTTCATTTTACAATTTACTTCATTATTTCATTTTTGATTTAATATTGCGTAGACCTACATGTAAATATGTCACCTCCAATGTATATTTGGTGGTACATTAACATGCTTAATCATTCCACATTATTTTCTGAGACACCAGAGAAAATAAAACAATCAATGGTTTCAGACAATGTCAATTTGACGAGATCAAGAAGATTACCATCTTCTCAATCTGAAGTTATTACAAACTTCATAGAAGATACGGTAGAATTGGATAATTAAAAGAAAAACTTCATCAGGAATTCTCAAAGCTTAGCCTTATAATGCACAAGGATAAACTTCAATTTGTGGTATCATAAAAATATACATTTGTAGGGTACTCTAGACAGTCTTTAAACATCAACTGAACTACCGGTTAACTGGTTAATTGGTCGAAAGATTATCCGAGTAACCAGTTAGGCAAAACTTTTCGATTTGACAACACTAATTTTTATATATAATTTTAAAATATATTTAATTCTATATCCACAGGCTTTTTGGAGAAGAATCGAGACACATTTAGTCCAGATCTATTACAGTTGATTCAGTCTTCTAGCAATAAATTCATTGTGAATCTATTTAAACATGACATAGAGATAGGAGCAGACACAAGAAAGAGAGCACCAACTCTAGGAGCCCAGTTCAAAAAATCTCTAGATTCATTGATGAAGACATTGGAAGCTTGTCAACCATTCTTTGTTAGATGTATCAAACCTAATGAATTTAAGCGACCCTTGGTAGGTTTAAGAATTTTATATTTCTGTTGGGGATTTCAGTTAGCATCAATGAGACTACAACCAAATAATACATGGCTGCAAAAAAATGAACACCAAAAGTTACCATATGGTACGACAGTAATACATTTTGAAAGCCCTTGATTAAGAAGTGATAAATATCAACTACAATAGAGGGATTATCTGTATACTTTTCAATTACAAGTATTTGTGAACTAAAAAAAAAAAAGTTAAAACAGTTGAATAGGGAAATATTTGTGACATCTAACTTATTAACATGTTATCGTCTTAAATATGCATGTAATATTTGGTGCTGGACATTACGCAGTCATCAACCAATCTAATTTTTTGTGTTATTCTTCAGGATTTTGACAGAGAATTATGCTGTAAACAGTTAAGATATTCTGGTATGATGGAAACTATCAGAATCAGAAGAGCAGGATATCCCATCAGACATCGATTTAGGGACTTTGTAGACAGATACAGAATATTAGCAGAAGGCATTGGACCATCACATAAAGAAGATTGTCGGTTGGCTTCAGACAAAATTTGTAAAGCTGTATTACAGGGAATGGACTATCAACTTGGTAGAACTAAAGTTTTCTTAAAGGTGTGTCATTTTGTTTATTGTTGATTTATCTGTAAGCTATAAAAAAAATGTGTATTTTCTGTGTTTTCAGATTAAAATTATATTTAACTTTAAGCACTTGTTTCCATTTAATTTTAACCGATTTGCTATGTTTATCTTAAGTGTTGTGACTGTATATCAAACAACAAGTTATTATATATTTATGTATGTTTACATCAAAATCTAAGAAATATGTACTACATACATTAAAAAAAATATGTCAATTATTAAAAATTTAGACAAATTATAAAACTTTTTTTTAAGTACAGATTTATCAGATCAAGTTTTCAACTGTAAAATTAAATTTACTTTTAAAACCTGATTTTCAAAAACATAGCTAGCACAATGACAGACTTTTAAAAGTATTGAAATTATAAAGATAAAAAATAAATACTTATTACGTTGATATTGCTTTGAAAATAAAAATATGCATTGATTTTTATATTCTGATATTTTTAGGATGCTCAAGATGTGTATCTAGAACAACAAAGAGAACTTGCCTTAACAAGGAAAATTCTGATTCTGCAAAAGACCATTAGAGCATGGCATTGTAGGCGAAGATTCTTGAAAATGAAAGGAAGTTGTGTCACTATACAGACTACTTGGAGGTCATACATTGAAAGAAAGAGGTTCTTATTGGTAAGTTTTGACCTAAATGAATAGATTAATGAATTAAAATTGTATTTTGGATTAAGTTAGATAATGTCACGGTACCCAAATTGCACCTATTTAGCAAAAATAGCAGAGGAAATCTTACAAGTTTTCCTAGAGACTAAACAATTTGTATTTTTATGATTTGACTATATGCACGTCTTTCAACATAGGTAAATATATTTAAATATACACAAAAATTTCACAGTATATATAAACAGATGAAATGTTCACTGGAAAAAGTAAAATGTACGGGCGACGTCCACAAAAAGTCACCTTTTAAAAATTAGCAAATAAAATATGTTACAAGCATTTATTTCTAAAAAAATTAATAGTAAGCATGGACTGATGTCAAATTGTTCTAAATATTTAAAGAAATAAAACAAAATATCTGTTATTCGACTTTTAAGGATGTGAATTTAAGCAAGGATGCAATTTGGGTACTCCTCATTACAGAATCATTGATCGTTTGGAGGTCTGTTCAAAACCATTTTTCTATGATTCAATATGGATTTAAAATTAAATTGGTGGAACCATATAGTAAATAATGATACATCTACAAAATAAACACAGAATGGAAACTTTTGTCTAGATCATAAATAAACGTAGGTGAAAAAACTGTCAAAATAGGTGCAATTTGGGTACCTTCACGTTAATCAAAAGGTAATACCAAGTACATGGCCCTCAGAAACTTAATGAGTGAAAGGCTGATAATTCAGTTATAGAGACAAATAAAAACTACACACTTTTGTAACACGATTAAAATTATCAAGCAAAATGTGACTTTATATTTTTATTATTGTAGTAAATAAACATTAAGACATTCCCTAATTTTGAAACAAGAGTACTGTGGATTCATTATTATTCGTTGGATACCAATTTTCGTTGATTTCATGGGTACAGGAGAACCACGAATTTAAATGTTCAACGAATTACAAGATTTCTGCAGAAATGTATGCAGACTTTGTTCAAATAACGAAATCAAATATCCACGAAAATGCTAGTTTTCCTCAATCCACGAAAATTGGTACCCACGAAAATAAATGAATCCACAGTACATATTTTTAGTTAAAAGTTATCATATGTTAAGACAAAGGGAGCTCCCTGAACTTTAATATCAACTTTTATGTCAGCATGCTTTACCATGTTATTTCTTTTAATATTCAGAGTTCCTCCATTCCTGTTTAAGGAATATTAAAAGTATGGGATTTGCTCATTGTTGAAGGCCGTGCAGAGACTTATACTTACTTTATCTTCTACGTCATATGGTCTCTGGTGGAGAGTTGTCTTATTGACAGTCATATCACATCTTCTTATTTTTGTATAATAAGTGATCAATATCTCACAGTTCAACTTGTTTACATTGTGGTTCCTTATTTCAGATGAGACAAGGTTACCAGAGATTACAAGCTATGATCAGATCTAGAATTCTAACAGCCAGGTTTAATGCTATGAGAGGAATCATCATTGATGTTCAGGTTAGTAGACAGCAAAATAACTTGTCAGCCAGACTTTTCCATTTGTTCACAGATTCACTGGTGTCTACTTTTTGAACTTCCAAAGTGAAAATTTTCTAGGACAATTGGATTGCATCTCAATGAATATTGATAGAAGATCAAAAGTAAAATCTCTTTGTTATGAAACTTTCTCTGCACAGAACCCCTTCTATTGATTTTTGTTATCATGCAAAACAAACTAATTCTGATCTCTGGTGGTGATATCTTTTTACAGGCCATATATTTAGTGAAGAGGGATCAAACTCTTATATAAGTTACTATTTCAGGGCTGCGAAGTAACAGAACAAATAACTATAACAATTATTATTACAGAGATACTGCCGAGGATATATAGTAAGGAAATGGGCCTCTAGGAGGATGGAGTCTGTGGTTAAGATTCAGGCTTTAGTCAGAACAATGATAGCACAGAAAAAATACAGAAGACAGAAAATAGAAGTATGTTAATGAAGCATATTTGTTTTTTGTCGAGCCTGCGACTTTTGTCGCAAAAGCGAGACATAGTGATCCTACATTTCGTTGTCGGCGGCCGCAGCGTCCACAAATATTCACTCTGTGATTAAAGTTTTTGGAATTTTAATGACTTTCTTAAACTATCCTGGATTTCTACCAAACTTGGACAGAAGCTTGTTTATAATCATAAGATAGTATCCAGAAGTAAATTTTGTAAAAACAAAAATCCTGTTTTTTACATATTTTACTTATAAATGGACTTAGTTTTTCTGCCAGTTAACATTACATTCACTCTGTGGTTAAAGTTTTAAAATTTTAATAACTTTCTTAAACTATCCTGGATTTGTACCAAACTTTGACAGAAGCTTGTTTATGATCAAAAGCTAGTATCTAGAAGGAAATTTTGTAAAAATGTATTTCCTGTTTTTCCGTATATTACTTATAAATGGACTTAGTTTTTCTGCCAGTTAACATTACATACAGTCTGTAGTTGAAGTTTTTAAAACATTTATTAGATTCATAAACCATTCTGGATTTTTACCAAACTTGGACAGAAGCTTCTTACAATCAAAAGATAATATCTATAAGAAAATTTTTAATAATTTTTCCCCCATTTTTGGTGAGCCTGTGACTAGCAGCAAAAGTAGGCAAGACACTGGGTTCCGCGGAACCCTTACAAATTTTTTTTAGGAAAAAATAGTATTGCGCTCTTTTTTTTTTTTTTTTTAATATAATCGAAGAAATAATTTTATATTCTTTTCAAATATTGAATTACAAGGAAGAAATCTAAATTGTTTTCCATACATGCAAAATAAATTGTTTTACCTTTTAAAAATTTTGCAACTTCCAGAAATTTTGTTTTTGTTTTATAGTTTTTTTTCAATACGAACTCTATAAACTCAGGTTAATAAACTTTATTTATGTTATGCATTGCCAGTTTGATCAGTTTTATATTAACATATACTATTGTTTCATATCATAGTACAGAAAACGTGTAGAAGCAGAACAATTGAAAAAAAAAGAGGAAGCTGATCTGAAAAAGAAAATGACGGACAAAAAAGCTAAAATTGAAGCAGAGAAAATTTACCAGGTATTATAACAAATTGAGTTTTATAATAATTTTTGTCAGACTTTTAAAGACTTTAATATAAAATCTCATTGAAGATTAAACAGAAAAGCATAAAAAAGAAAAATCTATTCAAGCCATAGTAAATATTATATTTTCTTTTGAAAAAAAAAAGAATGGGTTCTTATGAAAGTGAAAAATAAAAAAATTGATATATTACAATAGTGCTAGATAGCCCCCTTTTTGTCGAGCCTGCGAATTTTGTCGCCAAATTGAGACATAGCGATCCGACATTTCGTTGTCGGCGGCGGCGTCCACAAATCCTCTGTGGTTAAAGTTTTTCAAATTTTGAACACTTTTTTAAACTATAATGGATTTCTACCAAACTTGGACAGAAGCTTGTTTATGATCACAACATAGTATCCAGAAGTAAATTTTGTAAAAAAAAAATCCTGTTTATCCGTATTTTACTTACAAATGGACTTAGTTTTTCTGTCAGTTAACATTACATTCACTCTGTGGTTAAAGTTTTTAAAATTTTTATAACTTTCTTAAACTATCCTGGATTTGTACTAAACTTGGACAGAAGCTTGTTTATGATCAAAAGCTAGTATCTAGAAGGAAATCTTGTAAAAATTTATTTCCTGTTTATCCGTATATTACTTATAAATGGACTTAGTTTTTCTGTCAGTTAACATTACATTCACTCTGTGGTTAAAGTTTTTAAAATTTTTATAACTTTCTTAAACTATCCTGGATTTGTACTAAACTTGGACAGAAGCTTGTTTATGATCAAAAGCTAGTATCTAGAAGGAAATCTTGTAAAATTTTATTTCCTGTTTATCCGTATATTACTTATAAATGGACTTAGTTTTTCTTCCAGTTAACATTACATACAGTATGTAGTTAGAGTTTTTAAAACATTTATTAGATTCATAAACCATCCTGGATTTTTACCAAACTTGGATTGAAGATTCTTACAATCAAAAGATAGTATCTAGATGAAAATTTTTAATAATTTTTTCCCCATTTTTGTTGAGCCTGCAACTTACCGCAAAAGTAGGCAAGACACTGGGTTCCGCGGAACCCTTACAAATTTTTATAGGTTGAGGAGAATTAGTATTTATTATTTAAATTCTTTTTGTTATTACCAGTAACACAGGTTTAAAATACTTTTAAACAGATAAATGATAAAAGCAATTTCTAATGTACTTTATATGAACATTTGTTAAGATTGATAATAAAAATGTTTGATGTAATTTATAGGAGCGTTTGGCTAGAATTGGGGATGAAGTCATCAAAGCTGAAGTTGAAGATAAAAAGAGAGCTGAACAGAAGAAAAAAGAGATTGCAGAAGCAGAGAGAATGAAGGATGAACCTGTCAGTGAAAGTAAACTGGTAGGTGACACTTATGTTTAGATTTTTCCAATGTGTAAAATGTGTTTGTGGAACTGAATAGTTTAGTTTATAATCACTATATTTAAATTGTTGAGAGTTTGCTGATTCTATAGGTAGTCTGGTGATTTTGTAGCCAAGAATATGTCCACAGATATAAAACAAATAAAGGTCACAGTGAGGTTTTGTAGTTAATGCATTAAGTTTTGAACACTTTGTGACTATTTTTTAAGTATAAGTGGCCATTAAGTTATTGTATTATACCATCTTTTATTGTGATTAAGGAAATATGTTCTTTTGATTCATAAGCTTAAGGTTTGATTAATTTAAAACCATATTCTTTGAGATAAATTTTCATGACTGAAATTGACATTTGTATTTCAGATTGATCAGTTATTTGGAGACGTTCATGGTACACAAGAAAATGGAGAGGGTCCTGTGTCTTTTAAGGTAAGTGTTGCAAAATACAATAAGTATGGGTACCCCTAAAAATCATATAATATTGTTAGATCTAAAAGATAGCTTTCTAGTGCAAAAAATGATAACCTTTATTGACTTGAACACTTTATAAAAGGATAGAAATTTTAATTCAAAACTTTTAAATGTTCTTGTTCTTGGTGGCCATACCACATCTCCTTATTTTTATATTGTTTATTTGTATGCAGGATTTGGAACAGAGAAGAAGAGAGTTAATGAATGGAGAGATAGATTTAGATGCCCCTCCCCTTCCAATGCCGGAGGATGAAGAGGACATATCAGAATATAAGTTCGCTAAGTTTACTGCTATGTACTTCCAAGGAAATAATAATCATACTTATATCAGACGAACATTGAAAGAACCATTACTGCCATTGAAGAATGATGGAGATAAGCTGGTAAGAATCTGAATTTTGTCAACTATGCATGGCTATTATATTGAAAAGCTAGACTCTTTTTGAACTCCATCTACATTCCATTGTTGTCTTTTAAGTCAGATGATTGACAGCTGATCAAAGATTCTTAAAATCCCAGATAATTAACACCAATGTAGCAATTTAATTTTTTCATGAAGGAATAACTCATGACAATTGATCCTTTTTAACCTTTCGAAAATGAAAATATATCATCTGCAAATATAAATGAACATTTCTGATAATATTTATACTGTCTGATTAAAACATAATTTTTTCAAGGTTATTTGATTTTTTGGTTTATGGATGTGAAATAAGATAACTAAAATGCTTGTTGTATATAAATATAAGTTAGATGGAAATTAGAAAAAATATAACATTAAGTTTGACCATACTTCTCCTTCTTCTTGTCTGTTCATCGATTGTTTAAGTACATGCCATTTTGAATCATTATATGATTTTTAAGGAAAGTTAACACAATTTTTGACCACCAAGATGTGCATTATGTCAGACAAAGGGAGGTATTTGAACTCACATCTTAAATGTTGAGTAGAGCAGGAACAGCATTTTGCGAGCAGCATCTCTAGTTCCAATATGCTTCAATAATGTATTGTTTCCTTTTGAAATATATATTTGTAGGCTGCGTTAGCTGTGTGGATAACCATTTTAAGATTCATGGGAGATTTACCTGAACCAAAATATATGGCCGCTGTGGCTGATACAAGAGTAAGTTACATTATATTGTAGATTCTAATATAAATGTAAGGAAATATAGTATAATTGCCAATTACACAACTACTCCTGAAAGGATCAGAAACAGTTATTCAGTGCTTCCTGTCCATTATAGTATATGAAATTTTATACAATAAGTTAGCTATTTAAAATGAATAATCTGATTCTCAGGTTCAACCTTGTCAGTGAATATCAATGTATGGCTAGCATTTATTGATCAGAAATATATACAAATCTTCTTATTTGGGTTTTCCTTCCAGTATTGAAATTGAAAGGCATATTTTATAGATATTGACTTTTACAGTAATGAATCAGTTCCTAATATTTTGGTATGTTGCATAATTTCTTTGAGAGTTAAAAATTTAAAAGACTAGGTTTTCCCTGCTTTTATCAGGAAACAATAGCAGTTTATACATATCACAACTAATACATGATTATATGTCTCATAATTCCTGATTATAATGGAATACCTGCTGATTGACACTAACTGTCTAATTACAGCAACAAGTTGGGATGTAAATTTCATGTCTGTCAGATAGTTATTTTGCTCAGAAAATAATGAACTCACCAAATTATGCTTATCATACTATTTGATTTAAAGCAGATAAATATCAGTTTATTAATTACAAATTGTCTTAGATAAAATCATCACTATGAAATATTCTTTGAAATGGAATGTTCTGTCCAGCCTAGACTGTGAAAGTTTATTCTATCAGAATATGATGCAGATTTAATTAAGTGAAGCTTTCTTACTTGTTTGAAATATTGCATTTTTTTATGCCCCCGCCGTAGTGGAGGGGGCATTAAGTTTTAGCCTGTACGTCCGTCCGTACGTACGCACCAAAATTGGTTTCCGTTCTCTAACTTGAGTTTGCCTCAACCAAATGTTATGAAACTGATGCACAATTCTAATTACCACAATACACAGATCAAGTTTGAGTTTTGTTGGTGTCACTTTTAATGTTCTAGAGTAATGCCCCTTTACAGATCTCAAAATTGCTGAAATATTTTTCTGTTCTCTAACTTTAGTTTGCCTCAACCAAATGTTATGAAACTTATGCACAATGCTAATTACCACAAAACACAGATAAAGATTGAATTTTGGTGGCGTCACTTCTACTGTTCTAGAGTTATGCCCTTTAAAAATGGAAAAATCGCTGAATTTTTCTTTTCTGTTCTCTAATTGAAGTTTACCTCAACTAAATGTTATGAAACTTATAAACTGCTTATTACCACAAAACACAGATTAAGATCAAATTTGGGTAGTGTCAGTTCTTGAGTTATGGCCCTTTATAACGTTATATGCAAGTGGGGCATCATCTGTGTCCCATTGACTCATTCCCCATTTATTTGTACTGACATTATACATTGAAAGTACTATATGTCACAAATAAATGTAAAATTTCATTCCCTTTCTAGGACACTACTCCTGTGATGACAAAAATCTACTCCACATTGGGCAGAAAGTTCAACAAGAAAGATTTGGAGGAGGCCCAACAGATGGGCTTTAATATTGTAAGTTTAAAAAAATATGTCGTAAGTCGTGCTCCAGTAACAAGAATTATTGTGTAGACCAAAATATTTGTTTTCATCTACTTGAGTTGTATAATAAAGTTTATAGAAAGGAATAGATTTATTTTGTATATACACTGATTGCATTACCATTAAACGTGAATTAATTCCCGAGAATGAAACAACACTATATTCTGTCTCTTGTTAATTTAAAAAAAATTGTAATTTTACTATTGACAAATTAATTCTTTTTATTTAGTTTTTTTTGCACAATGCTTACTTTTCTTCAATTTCAAAATTTAAATAGCAATAATGAAGCAACTTTGATAAGAGACTTGTTTTTAAACAAATTTTAGGAAAAGAGTTGAGACTAAGAAATTGGGAACATCTCTGCATTTATGTAAAAACAATTACAATAGAATAAAATTCCTTTTTAGAAGGCACATTATGTGTTTTACCTTTATGCATGAAAAAGAGAGGCAAAAGATACCAAAGCAGTGCATTCATTTAGACCCGGTACCCGGTACTTTTACCCGCCTACGGAAGCGTCTGGTACCGGCAGAAAAAATAAAAATACAAAAAAAAAATGTGTAAAATTCTTTTGAAGATCGTTCAAATCTAATTTCTTTCATTCCTTGACAATCTCCGTTCTACGCCGTTCATGTGTATGTTTATAGGTGTCTTCGTCGAGGTCCGCGTTAAAGTATAGATCTATCTTCTGCCAATTTAGGCACACCTCCAAAGTAGGAGAAGTGATAATTACAAACCATGTGTCTGTATCTGTATCGTAAGAGCGCTTTAAAATGCGACGATTTAGCAGTATATTTTCAAGCGGCAAATTGTTGATGAATTTAAACAACAACAGCAATATTATGTCTAATAAAAGGAAAGCAGCTTTTATCACAGATTATTTTATGAATAAAAGGTTTAATAAAGGTGAACATTCTATGAAATTCAGAAAAATCGTTAATCGTATCAAATCAGTTCGTTTCCCGTTGGACGTTGTCACTGATCTCCGTTTTCACGATATGTGTTCTCTGTTGTGATTGAATTTTTTAGTGTAAGACATCGTGAAACATTTTACAATCTGAACTAACATAACTGAACATTACGTTTACAAAATATAACATCTGACGAGATTTAAGACTTCTAAAATTAAAAAAAAAGACAGCTAAGAAGAAGTGAAAATTTTTTTTTTTTTACTTACTATAGTCAAGAATCCTATGATTAATTTGCCCCCCCCCCCCCCCCCCCCTCCCATTTCACAATCACCCCTTTTTATAAATATTAAAGTTAAGTGAAAGTTGAATACATGTTGTTTTTTTCGGACAAGAACAACCATCATAACACTTAGCATATATCAAAAACGTTTGTTTGTTGTTTTGCATGAGAGCATGTTTATTGTTTATGTTGTTTAATTGTTTGCATGACACTGTTAAATTACTTACACAAACAATTGACACAGTTATGATTATAACAAAGCAATAAAAAAAAGTTACAACAAGTTTTATTATCAATTTTTTTTAATAATATACTATGTAACTTATGAAATTAATATTTCATTCACAAAATTGAACAAATGCAAAACATTTAATAAAAGTATAAAAACAAACAAAACATTTAAACAACATTTCACATGAAACCCCTGCGTTATAGGTCATACCATGGAAGTATTATATTGACAATATAATACTTCCATGGTCATACATATTTTATAACTGATTACAAAATAATTATAAGCAATGTATTTTCAGATGATTACTCTAGCATGTCTAGAAAAAAAACAATTCAATGTTAACTTACCCAAAATTGAAGCAAATATTACAGACTTTACCCTATTTTTTTAAGTAAAAAATTAAGGCTGAAATCCCTAAAATCCATGAGCTTCCGGGGGGCTTTGCCCCCCTGGTCCCCCTACCAGGGCTAGACCTGGACCCACTGGGGGCCTTAAGCGGCCCCCAGACCCCTTGCCGTTTAAGTTTGGTTCCCCCTATAATCTCAAAGGTACCTCCAGTCTAAAAAAATAATGAAACCCCTGCCAAAGGGACATTCAAACTCATAAGTCAAAAAAATAAACTGACAATGCCATGGCTAATCTAAATTTGGTTATTTTGAAAAATGCAAAGAATGTTTTAATAGACAATTTAAAGTCTTATATAAGCTAATTTCCTATACTAATACAATATTTCTGTCTTTCAGGAAAATGAACCAATGAACATGAGACAAGGCAAGAGAAGCATGAGGAAGAAACTTGTGTCCTTGACTTTAAAGAAAAAGTCCAAAATAACAGAGGATGTCCGTGAAAAGTTGGCCCTGGAATATGATGTCGGTTTCACATCTGGTGGAAATGCTCTTTTGGACGACAGACCTACATCAAACTTAGAAAAACTTCATTTTATTATAGGACATGGTATTCTAAGACCTGATTTAAGGTATGCTTCTATTTGTCATTAGTTAACAACTTACAAATCAAGAAAGCTGAACCTTTCATCTTATTAGATACATGTGCCATGATAGTAATTTTCTTTTCAAATGGGCTTTGCAGTTTGTAACACAAGATGATTATAAATAAAGTATCTTGTAGTTTTTGGAAAGTATTCTTCTGTAAGAAATGAAAGTAACACAGTTTTAAGGTATTACTAGAAGTATTGAAATTATTCATATGATTCATTATTACAGAGATGAGATTTACTGCCAGATATGTAAACAGTTAACACAGAACCCATCAAAGTCCAGTCATGCTAGAGGTTGGATCTTGTTATCATTATGTGTTGGATGTTTTGCTCCATCAGATAAGGTAATTACTGACTGAAAATGTTAATTAGTCCCCTACCAACGAAGTCGAAGGGGACTTTAGGTTTGCACTCTGTCTGTCCATCCGTCAGTTTGGCAAATCAGTTTTCCACACTTTTTTTCTTTGTGCTCAAAGATAATGATTTGATATTTGGTGTATTGTTTAATCATGACAAGTTACAGATCAAGTTTAAGTTTTGTTCCGGTCTGATGATTTTGTGCTGAGTTATGGTCCTTGAACTTAGAAAATTCACACAAATAATCAGTTTTCTGCACTTGTTTTTGTTTTGCTTGAAGATATTGATATGATGATTGGTATATAGTTATATCTTGACAAGTTACAGATCAAGTTCGAATTTTGTTCTGGTCTTATGATTAAATTGTGCAGAGTTATAGTCCTTGGAATTCACTCAAAAAATCAGTTTTCCTCACTTTTTTCGTCATGCTTGAAGATAATGAATGGATAATTGGTATATAGTTTTATCATGACAAGTTACAGATCACGTTCATATTTTGTTTCAGTCTGATGATTTTGTGCAGAGTTATGGTCCTTGGACTTAGAACATTCACTCAAATAATCAGTTTTCCTCACTTTTTTCATCATGATTGAAGATATTGAATGGATAATTCGTATATAGTTTTATCACGACAAGTTACAGATCAAGTTCGAATTTTGTTATGGTCCTTGGACTTAAAAAATTTACTTAAATAATCAGTTTTCCACACTTTTTCCCATCATGATTGAAGATATTGACTAGATATTTGTTATAAAGTTTACACCATGACAAGTTATAGATCAAGTTAGCATTTTGTTCCAGTACAATGAATTTTTAACTGGTAGGGAACTATTATTGCCTTGCAATACTCTCAGAATGCTAGTTTATTGCAATTTTTCCAATGTAACTTTTCAGTGCTTCTTTTTGTCTTTTCTATTGACAAAAATCATGAATATGCGACAGTGACTTGGGTTTCAAAGAACATGAGAAACATTCCCAAGACAGACCTCAAAATACTGTTGAAATAGAATCAAGATAATTATTAAGGCCATCCTTTATGTGCATTAGAAAGATCGATGTTACAGCCGATTTCAATGAGTGTGTAGGCAAAGGTAATATCTTTGGTTAGCTTGCTTGCTAGCTGAACCGTGAAGTCATTGTTAGGTTAGGTAAACTACCCTCCTTTAAGAGTAGACTAGTCCGACAGATAATCTGTCTGTAGGACTAAGCTACTTCGAAAGGAGGGTAGTATACCTTACCTGATAATGACTTCACAGTTCAGCTAGCAAGCAAGCTAACCAAAGATATTACCTTTGCCTACACACTCATTGAAATCGGCTGTAATCTCCAGTAGTGATGGGAGTTTAAAGTAGAAGAACCTAACAATTAAAGATAGAAATGTATTTTATGTTATTCTTTTTCTTTTTTAAAGTATGTTAGGTCTGATAAAAATGCCATTAAGGATACTTTGTGAAGTATCAATTTTCAATCTGATCTTTAATTGATTTAATTGATGATCATATTGGTAATTTCTTTCTCTTTTTTCACAGTTTCTAAAATATCTTCGGAATTTCATACATGAAGGTCCACCTGGATACGCACCTTATTGTGAGGAGAGATTAAGGAGAACATTTGCAAATGGAACAAGAAACCAGCCTCCAAGTTGGTTAGAATTACAAGCCACAAAATCTAAAAAACCATTAATGCTCCCCATTACATTCATGGATGGTAATACAAAAACATTATTAGCAGATTCAGCAACTACTGCCAAAGAACTCTGTCAACAATTAGCAGAGAAAATAGGATTAAAAGATCAATTTGGATTCTCATTGTATATAGCATTATTTGACAAGGTAAATTTATGGATAAGTTATTGTAAGATATATCAGTGTATACTCCTTAATTATTGCTCTACTAACTACCTGATTGGTCTCATGGTAGCCTGCTTGTCTTTAGTATGAGTTATTAAGAAGTCCTGGCCCAGATATTTCGACCCTTCTTAATGGAGCTAAGTATATAGTTAATGCATAGTTCTCTTTCAAGTCCCACACGTAACGTTGCCTTGGTGCCCCCCTTTTTTATACGACTGCAAAAAATTTTGCGGTCGTATATTGGTATGTCGGCGTCATCAGCGTCGTCCGAAAACATTTGTAAATAGAAATCTATGAAATTTAAACACAAGGTTTATAACCACAAAAGGAAGGCTGGGATTGATTTTGGTGGTTATAGTCCTAACAGTTTAGGAATTAGGGGCCAAAAAGGGGCCCAAATAAGCATTTTTCTAGTTTCCAGACAACAGCATAGTGTATTGCAAAAAATTGAATATAAATTCAAATCATATAACTAATTCTAAGTTCTTTGACTACAGTTATTCTGTGTCAGAAACCTATTATGTCTCAAATATTTAATTACAATCCAAATTCAGACCGGTATCAAGCGCGAATATTGTGTCCATTTTTGCCCCAACTATTCAGGGTTGGACCTCTGCGGTCAAATCCAGCTGTGCTCGGCGAAGCAATTTATTAAATTATGGATTACTTAATTGACAAAAGTATTGATAAAATAGATCTTGTATCAACACCTATATGAAAATGACTAATTAATCAATCACTCTTTTTACAAACAACCAAATGTCATCTTATAACTTGCAGTAATGATATTAACACAATGTGTAAGTAGACCTGAGCAAATAAATTACACCATACCCATAATGTGTAAATGGTACTAAGAATTGATCAGCTATAGCTTTTTATTCAATTTACAGGTATCTTCTCTTGGTGGAGGTGGTGACCATGTAATGGATGCCATATCTCAGTGTGAACAATATGCCAAAGAACAAGGTGCTCAGGAACGTAATGCTCCGTGGAGGTTATTCTTTAGGAAGGAGATCTTTGCTCCATGGCATGACCCTGGTGAAGATTTAACAGCAACAACATTAATCTATCAGCAAGTAGTCAGGGGCATCAAGTTTGGTGAATACAGATGTGATAAGGTTTGTTTGAATGATATTAAAAAGCAATATACAAAAAAATTAAACATGCACATACACGCACCAACAAAAAAAATAACAATCCCCTTAAAAGGACTTTGAATTATCTTGCATAAAGAAAAAATTGGGAATTGCACTTGTTCATTGTTTAATTATTCAGATAAGCTTTGCTTATGAATGAAGAGGTTATTGCATTGTTTTAAACAGGTGTTTTTGTATAAATTAAAATTACTTGAAAAGTCTATATAAAAAGGAGATGTGGTATGATTGCCAATTATACAATAGAGTCCAAATGAAACTGATTTAAACAACTATAAATCACAGTATGGCCTTTAACTTTAGCAAAAGCCATACAGTATAGTTGGCTCTAAAAAGCCCTTACATGACAAAATGTGAAACAATTCAAATAAAAAAACCAATGAGGCCATTTATGACAACGATTTATGACAAACAAATATATACATTTGATAAAATGTCTAAGTAAAGATGTATTTTAATTGTAGGATGATGATTTAGCCATGATTGCTGCTCAGCAGTACTACATAGAACATGGTAGTGGAGTGAACATGGACAGATTATCTAACTTGTTAGCTTCATACATTCCAGACTCGTCACTCAGTAAACCTAATGCCATGAATCAGTATATAAATCTGGTTACTCAAAAACTTAAAACCAGTTATTTCTCTAACGAAAGGATTAAACCAAACAAAGTGAAGGAAGACATTGTAAGCTATGCAAAATATAAGTGGCCATTATTATTTTCACGGTTTTATGAGGCTTATAAATTTGCTGGTCCTAGCTTGCCAAAGAATGATGTAATTATTGCTGTGAATTGGACTGGTGTATATGTTGTAGATGACCAAGAACAAGTTTTACTAGAGTTGTCTTTCCCTGAAATCACTGCTGTTTCCAGTAGTAGGTAAGTCATGAGTAGTTGATGATGTTATTATTTGGTGTAATTTAATAGCATTGGTTTTGTATTGAAATCAGTAAAACGACAAAATTACACAAATTCTTGACTGCTTGAATAATACTCTTAGAAATAATTTAGAGCACAACACTGACCCAAATACTTTTTCACACTGGAATTGTATTTTTGTATTTATTTAATGACAGGAAAAAAACTTGTTTTGAAGGGACTCTTTTATTCACTTATGGATGAGAGCCCTACAGTTTTCAATTTGTCTGTCTGACTGTCTGTCTGTCTGTCTGTCTGTCTGTCTGTTTGTTTGTCTGTCCAATGATTTTTTAAGTGCAAAACCTCAAGTAAAGGTAGGGGCCTCGTTGGCCAAGTGGTCTAAGTAGTTACTACTGTAATCACTAGCCAGTCAACACTGAGGTTTTGAGTTTGAACCCCGCTCGTGCGGGTGCACTCGACTCCAGTCTTAATTGACTAGGATTGTCAGTTTTCCTATCGAAGGTCGGTGGTTTTCTCCCGGCACTCCGGCTTCCTCCACCAAAAAAAACTGGCCGCCACGAAATAGCCCAAAAGCGATGCTTAAAAGTGGCGTTAAAACACCAAAAATCAAAAATCAATCAATCAAGTATAGATAAGAGGCCAATGAAATTTTGCACTGTTGTTGTGCGTAATATGTAGATATGCATAAAAATATATTGGTGAAATTTGGTTCCTTTATTTGGGAAAAAAACTTAGTTTTTGTTAAAAAAAAATCACAAATTTTGAGAAATGTCATTTGTAAATGCAAAAACTCCAAAAGTATAGGTAGGAGGCCAATGAAATTTTGGACAGTTGTTGTGCATAATATGTAGATGTGCATATCATATATGGTGAAATTTGGCTCATTTAATTTCCGGGAAAAAATCACAAGTTTCAACCAAATCTGATATATACATTGTAACTGTATTGAGTTATTTGAAAGTGATTCACAAATTTTAGAAAAATGGTAAAAACTTACTTTTTTTTTTTGAATCGCATATTTTGAGAAGCATCTTCTTGTTATAGGATGTTAAAAACAATGATATATGATATAGGCATAATTTGCATTCCATGTTTTTCTTGCTAGGGTTTAAATGAAAAAGAAATCATTTGCTTTTACAAAATGATTCTCTGTGTCAAAAATATTGGTTGCCCACCACTTACGAAAATGCCCACCAAAGTACATGTCATAATGTATGGATTTTAACAAAACATATATTAATTGAGAATACATCCTTAATTAATTGCTGGTGTCAAAATTTATGAAAATTGACAACCTATGAACATTTGCATTGTATGCATCAATCTCTTTGCCTCACATTAAAATGTGCAAGCAGGGCCCTTACTGACTTGTCAGTTTTCTCTAGTTATTTAGCCAAAACACTTGAGAAATAACATTCATTTGATTAAATATGACTAATTTCCCTTATGACATAAAGTCAAATTGTGTCAACAACCCTAAGTTTTATGAGAAACATTCTGAACTTTAAAAAAAACAAAAATGTTAAAAATTATTGTAACAAATCTTTTTTTAATATCAGTGTCCCAGAATTTACAGAGCTAGATCAGCCAAAAACTATATCTTCCTCTGATTCTTTTGACAGAGTAGAACATTTATAGATATAATTTATATAATTCCTGGAGAAAATATATCAATCATACTTGACAACTTGTAAACATGATAATTACTTTAGAATTACATTTTTTTTGTTCATTTTTCTTTTTCTTACAATTACATCAATTAAGAAATTCAAGCTAGCACATCACACGTGAAACAAGTATACTTGAACATGTATGTTTTTCACCTAGGCTAAGTTGCAAAATTGTGCACCCACTTTTTTTCTGAGTTCCCTGATTCCAGGGTGAACTTTGATTTGACCAGTCTTTCAAATTCTTAAAAATTACCAAAATTGTTGGAAATATCTGGACCCTTGGTATAAAGTGTATAATATTGATTAAAGAGAAAGTTTATGAAAAGATGTAGATTTTTTATTTGTAATACATTTTTTTTTAACAGAACTGGGAAAATGCATGGCCAGAGCTTTACATTAGCTACAGTGAAATCTGATGAATATACATTTACCTCCCCTAATGCTGAGGACATCAGAGATTTAGTGGTTACCTTTCTAGAGGGTCTAAAGAAACGTTCCAAATATGTGATAGCATTGCAAGACTATGTTCCACCAGGTAATAAGAATTCTATTGTCAACATTTTATAATTACACTGATAAGTTACTGTATTCATCTTAAAACAAAAAGAAATTGTGGCTTTATAGCTTTATACAATCAAACTTAGTTAATGAACAAATGGTATTATGGAAACATTTTACAACTTATATTAGGAAAACTGTTATTAGGTCAAAAGCTTACTATTTGTTTGTTTTTTCAGTTGCATGTTAATGGTTCCATTATTAAAGATTTGCTTCATTGACATATTATACTTTTTATGAGAGTTACAATGTATAATTTGAATTTTAAGATACTGCTAAAGATTTGAAAAATGGTAAGATAATATGTAGAGTGACACAATGTACTGATTTATTTGGACAGGATTTATACTATCTTGTTCTTGCACATATAGTTCTTTGTGTAGAATTTTAACACCATTGTATTTAATTAACAAAATGTAGTTATTAAATATTTGTGTTTGAGTGTTGTTTACCGTTAGTCTTAACAAAGTTGAGTGGGACTTTAAGATTGTTATACATGTTCACATCTTCATCAACAGCCAGTTTTTTTTTTTTAAAAACAAATTGAAATACAGCCATATAATTTGGTACACAGATACATCTTGGACAAACTGACCATGTATTATAAAATGAAGGTCTTACGTCCACCGTAAAGCAATGAGTTCTCTATAAGTAGACTATACCAACTAATATTTGTAATGGATTTTGTATACATTTCATCCAAGTAAGGAAAAACAGTTACTTTGTTATAAATACCTTTAATGCAAGCATTGATCTAAAAGTCTGTTACTGAAAATATAAGTTGAGTATATAGGTTGTTTAGTACTTCATATTTTAATATATTGCCATATTGAAAGATAAGATAAAAAAAACTTGAATCAAAAAACGTGTTCCATTGCAAGACATTCTTTCTATTCAGAAGATACTTTGTTTAGAAAACTTAGTAATATACTTATATATATATATAAATATTTATCATGTAGACATTATATTGTAGACAGTTTTATTTATATTAAGGATTTTTGTAATAGTAAAATATATTTGGAATATTTAGATTAAAACTGAATATTTAAACTTGCTCTTAACCACAATAACTATATATAATATATATTGTAAAATTAAATATTGTATATGTTATCATTTACATTTTGGATTTTTTATTGTGATGATTTTATTAACATTGATTAGTTAAATAGATACAAATTCTTGATATGCTTCATTAATAAAGTGATATATACTTGATCTGTTACTGAACATAGACCATATCAATTACCATATGGTAAAAATTAAATTATTTAATGCCCAAAAAGGCGCAAGCCAGGGCCGACCGTGCAAGGGCTGTATAGCCAGTCAAGGTCGTTAAAAACTTCCATTTGTTGTAACATAGACCTCATCTTTATGTCTATTGACAATGAATTGAATGCAATTTAAAGGAGTTAGATTTGGACTTAATATAATATGCTAATAATGAATTTAAAATGAAGATAAAGAAGATTATATATGTAAACAAGAGTAGATTTTTTAAAAGAAAATTCAATACCTGTATCCTTTACATGTTTGTACCAATTCATGGCAACATCAGCCTATACCAAATTCATACTTTGACAATGGCTTAAATTCCCTTTTAATAGTAACAATTAGAAAGCTCATCAATGAAAATATTGACTTGATGTTAATGAGAAATTTAAGGTAGATTTATGTTATAGTGATGTATTTGGTTTTGATTCATTATCTAACCCGCCCCATCTCTCAAACCCACAACTCTCTCTCTCTGAACTTGTTCAGAAGTTAGTCTTCAATTTTTTTCTTGCTTTAAAAAATTAGGAAATCAGGATAGTTTTTGGCTTACAGTAAGGATAAAAAAGATGTTTCTTACAGGAAATGAAAAAAATTGGTGCCTTCTTTCAAATTGTTTTGAAACAGTTCAACAATGATAAATTTCCCGTTATTTTTCAATGTACATTTTTTATTACTATTTATTGAAATTTGATTTCAGGTGATGGTGGTTCTTTCTTGACATTTAACAAGGGAGATTTAATTGTATTGAACCAACAAAGTGGAGAGTCTGTAATGAACTCTGGATGGTGCGTGGGAGAATGTATCAGAACGTCACAGAAAGGGGATTTCCCTGCAGAATGTGTATATGTGCTTCCAACTATTACAAAACCACCCATGGAAATCCTTGTAAGTACTATATAATACCTATACAGCATTTTTATTTATTTATTAAAAAGCATATTAAGAGTTTTATAACTTCCTGTAAATAAAAGATAAAAACCAATCTATTCCTTATTGTTTTATAACACCCAATTTACATGTATACCATTGAACAGAATTATTCCAAAAAAAGCAATCAGATCATTTTGAATTATTCTTATTAAGCCACCCCCAATAAGGTAGGATGAGACTCTACCCTTCTCTATATAGTGTACATTACTTAAGGTTAAAACCTTTATTTAACAAAAGTTTGCCATAATATCCATTAATTGGCAAATAATCGCACATTATAGCAATGTAAATAACTTAATTTTAGATGTAAATACATGCAGTCAAGTCCTGTAATTTTAGCTCATATGACAAGTCTGTACATTTCATTGCCATAACTTTTAATGAACAGACTAATTGGTTGAGCAAAAGTATTAGCCAGCATCATGTATATGTAAAAAATGAACCAATAAAGGTTAATGATTATCAAAAAAACGCACAACCCTAAAACACAATTTTAACAGCAAGGAAAATTGAACTCTGGCAACTATTTTCAGAATTTATTTATGCAATCTGGTGACCAAGCTGAAAAAATGCTGGCGTCTAACACCCAAGACACCCCAGTAGACCAAGGAGAAAAACCATACACCTTAGAGGAATACTCATACGATCATTTCAGGTACTAGTGTACTATCATATTATTTTGTCATTTATATTATTGCTGATTTTCTAATTAAACTTTTGTTGTTAGAATGATAATAATTTATGGAATCATCTTACATGATATGCAGTGCTTATGAATGTAAATTTGGCTTTTTTTACAGTATTAAAAAAAAGCCATATTGGTTTTAAATTTTCAGTCTACTGATGTCACATAAACATTTTTTTTTATGATAACCAGAAAGATTTACTGTTAAAGCATCCAATTTAAACTACAACAAAATCTGCAGCATTTCTTGAACAATAGTATAATTTTGATAAATGACTGTTAAAAATGTACATAGTTTTTTTTTATATAATAATTATATCATCTCTTAGAGGGACCTCGGTGACCAATTTGAACCCTTTACATAGTGAGTGGGTTAGACTCCAATCTGGATGGACTAGGATTGTAAGTTTTTCTGCCAAAAGTCTGTGGTTCTCTCCTGACACTCTGGCTACCCCCTCAAATAAAAGGTTGCTGCCATGAAATTCTCTCCTGTCACTCTTGCTACCCCCTCAAATAAAAGGTTGCTGCCATGAAATTCTCTCCTGGCACTCTTGCTACCCCCTCTCATAAAAGGTTGCTGCCATGAAATAGCTATAGTGTTGAAAGTGGCCTTAAACACCAAAAAATCAATCAATCAATAAATCTCTTGAGTTAAGATTTAGAAATAATTACTTTGGTTTACTTATCTTGTACTATAAAATGTTGAGAATACTGTTATGTGACAGTATAATCATACATGGTGAAAACTTAATAGTTGAGTAATATATCATGTAACTCTTTCACTTAATTCACCTTTGATATCTATATGTGTAAGTTTATTATTATCGTTCTTTTTTTCTAGACCACCACCAAAGAGAACATTATCAAAGACATTATCAACAGCAAGACGGAAAAGACCAGATGATTTATGGAGATACAGCAAAGAACCATTAAAACAACCTCTACTTAAAAAATTACTCGGCAAAGATGACTTGTGTCAAGAAGCTTGCATGTGTTACTTAGATATCCTTTTAAAAAAATCTTTCTGAACTGAGAGAGAAAAAAAAAATGCTATAAATTTGTCATAATTAAAATATTGCTCAAACAATTCAACTTAAGAGGTCATTAAAATTTTTATGTTTACTGTTGTGTCCTTTTTCGTTAAATTCCGTGATTTTACATGTTATTAAAGATAAAGGAGAAGGTGTGAAAAGGCCACTTTTTACCGTTTGAATTTGAAAATCAAAAAGTTCTATAGATCTTGTAAATAACATCCTTCAGATTTTCACAAGACAAGTCTATCAGATATTAGTACTTATAATTTGAAATTTATCTTATATATTTGCTTTAGGGCTTCAAACTTCTTGAAATTTGTGCAAAACTTCAAAGACTGTCTGAAAACTCTTTTTTAGTTCTTTGTCATTAATGTTAGATATGAAACATAGGCTCATCCTAAAAGACAATTTGCTTTAAGATGTGTTATACAAAGATGTTAATGTGGGGAAAGTGTCTTTTTCTGGTGCTTTTCTTATTTTTATTCTTATTCAAAAAGGTATATGTAAAATTGGCATTTTAGGTCAAACTTGTCAATTTTTACATTTTTATGACATCATAGTGACACAAAACAACTGAAATTTTTGCACTAAAATGTCAATATTATATCATTCTACCCATTAAAAAAAAATGAAAATAACTTTGGAAAAATTGAAGAATTTTCTTATTTTACATTTTCAAGAGTCAAATTATGGTATTTATAATACTTTCTCCTTAGAGTAGTTAGTATGGAAAACATATTTTTATGGCGATTAAAAATAGCAAATAATATTCATGGTTCATTTTCACTGGTGAATTAATTAGAAAGTTTTATTCATGAAATGTATTTTGCTAATCTAATCTATGAAAAGAGTTTTATTAATTTTCTTAACATTATTACCTATCTTGAAATACATGGGAGATCATCCGTCAAAACGTGGACGTGTAGCCAATGAACATACAGACCAGATATATGAACCACCGTTAAGAAGTGTAGGTTGAATTAAGAAGCTTTTACAGTTGAATAGGACTTCTTAGTTGTATAATTTTTCAAAATAGTCCCAATAAAACCATGCTGCTTCAAACTTTTATGATGTATGTTTCCCACAATTATGACCATCATGGAAGATGTGTACAGTTACATGTTAATTGGACATATTTTTTCATCATTGACTCTTATAGTCTGTGTTTAATATAGTTACAGGCCTCTAATGTTTTAAAACTTATTAAAATTTCATTTCACATTTAAACATATCAATTTTATATATATAAACATATTACACTTTAGGGAACTATGGGCTACAGTTCTGTGAGTTACTAAACTGAATTAAAACAATTTCACATAGAATAGCTAATATAGACCTTATCTCTATTTTGGATGCTGTAACACCTTTTGATGTTGTTGTACAACATTCACAGTTTTACTGTGGTTTCAGACATTTCCTTTTTAATGTCAATGTTTTATGGGACCATTTTGTAATGTCCTGTAATGGTGGACTAATAGTGGTAAGGTGTATACACAAGGCTAGATCGCAGAACAAAATATGCTTTTATATATATTTTATCATCAATCATGAATACATAATTATATATATATACCGGTATATATATTCAAGTTTTAATTCAAAATTCATTATAATTGTACATCTACTATACTTAAGCTGTAATATTATATTTAGATTTCCATTTTAACCAAAATAACGATGCAATATGGAAGATTTTTACATTTTTATGGTTCTACATTGAAAGGAGAAGTTCGGTACGGGCTTATTTTGGCCTAAAATTTGAAGTACATCTGACGAAAGATTTTGACATTTTTTAAACACAAGAGTCTTTCTCCAGTCGATTCAATTAGTTTTTGTAAAAGATTTGAACTGATTTGATCTTTAAAGACGCCTAAATTGAAGCTTAAATATGAAAAATCTATCAAATATGCCACAAAACGTAACTTTTTCAAATGTTTTTTGTCTAAAATGGAAGTGGCCGCGTTCGTGTTCAGTCTCAACCTTTATATATGTTATGTATCATCAAAATACAACATATATTTAAATATTAAGACTGAACACAAGTGCAGCCACTTCCATTTTAGACAAAAACCATCTAAAATTAGCACAAATGCTAAAATTGTGAAGATTTCAGTAATTTTGCATGAATTTATGATGCTAGTAACTGATGCATGTGCAGTGTAATGTCAAAAACAGCCCATATTTATGTAACAAAAGTATTCTTTCCAATAAATAGCTAAAAGTTTACATTTTTAACAAATTTTTGAAATGCTATATTTTGGGGCCAAAAAGGGGTCTTACCAGTGTCTTATGGTATATTGAACCCCCTGAAAAGTGAACCCGGGGTCAAAATACCATATGGAAAATTGACCTCGGGTCATTATACTCCAATAAGTAGTTGGTATGTATTAAACATGCTGGAAAAGATGTTAGGAAAATTTTACTTAGCCATGGTATTTTAACCCCCCTGCCATGGTATATTGAACCCCCTACTATACACCTCCAATTTCAAGAATTATAGCTATTCTAACTCCTTAACATAGTAATAAAACTCCAATAAGTAGTTGGTATGTATTAAACTTGCTTGAAAAGATGTTTCAAAAATTTTACTTAGTCATTGTATTTTGACCCCCTGCCATGGTATATTGAACCCCCTCCTATACACATCAAATTTCAAAAAATCATATATATTCAAACTATTTTACATAGTTATAATGCTGTAACTAGTATTTGGTATATATGAAACATGTTGGAAAAGATTTTTTAACAATTCTATTAAGCATTGGTATTTGACCCCCTGCCATAGTAAATTGAACCCCCTTGTCTATTTACCTCCAATTTCAGAAATCAAATTATTTCAAACTGCTTTTCAAAGTTTTAATACTCTAATAAATATATGGTATATATAAAACATGTTGAAAAAGTTGTTTTGACTATTTTACTGAGCCATCATATTTTGACCCCCTCCCCCTTTTTTACCATGGAAAATTGAACTCCCCTTATATGTTAGGATTTCAAATAATCAAAGCATTTAAGCTACATGATCTAGTTATTATGCTTCAATACGTATTTTGAATGAAATTTTGTTGGTAAAGACTTCAGAGCACTTATACCAAGCCATGGTATTTTTTTTATCTACCATGGAAAATTGACCTCCCCTTTTTGTATATCTGATTTTCAATCTACAATAAGCTTTAAAATAATGTATACTGTTCTAAGAAATATCTAGAATGAAAAAATAGGGGGGTCAATTAACCATGGGGGTAAATTTTCCATATGGGTGGGAAGGGGGGGGGGTTCAATTTACCATAGCTGTGTTTTGACCCCAGGGTCAATTTTCCATGGGGTCCAAAATACCATATGACACTGGGCCTACTCTTTTAATACTTTACTATTTATAAATACTTGTCTATGATATCATTTTCAGATAAACAAAGTCATGGCTCTATACACATCAGACTTTATTCAGATATACAAAGTCATGGCTCTATACACATCAGATTTATATTCAGACAAAATTTAAATCCACAAAATAAATAACTGAACTTTTATTATATAAAAGACTAAGTTAAATATCTCATATGAATACAATTCTAGTTTGCTAGATGAATAAATTTTTATCATTAAATTTTGTTTTTCTTTCTGAAATAGGAGATTTTGAGAGATGAAATTTACTGCCAGTTGATGAAACAGTTGACAGAAAATAGAAATGAGTAAGTATTGTGTATTGTCTTAGAAATTAACATCTGATATAAAATAATGATGGAATTTTCATGTAGAATAACATTTTGTATTTGGCAAAGAAATTGTTTTTATTTTTATTCACAGAGGAAGTGATATATGTTTCATAGGTACACATCTTTGTATATTTTATGGTCAACTGTATTATATGTATTATATTTCCATAGTGATTGAAATCGTCATAAATTTTTATTAAACTTAACATTTATTTGCCCTAAATGATTTAATTGTTTACAGAATCAGTGACAGGAGAGGCTGGGAATTAATGTGGCTGGCCACAGGATGCTTTGTACCAAGTACAAATCTTGTTAAGGAATTATATAGCTTTCTCAGATCAAAAAGTAAAAACCAAATAGCTCAAGACTGTGTTCATAGAGTGCAGAAGACGTTAAGGTGAGTTCAAAGGGAAAAAAATCCACAAAATAAATAGCATTACTTTTATAATGAATAAGACAATTATTGGTGATTAGGCACAAAAATGAATTCAATGATATCAAAATTGGAAAGAAATTCAATATGGACTAGATACATAAAAAATCATTATGACATTCAGCAAGAAGTTTTGGGGAATATTTTTCATATACATGGAAATAAGTAGAGAATGATTTTATTTCAGGAGTTTGAAAATGAAATGTATACCCTCTTATTGAAGTGTCGATGTAAAGTGATCATTATTTCATTCAGTTATTTGTTTGTTCATCCATTTGTATTTTGTATTTCCAACTCCTCCTTATTCAGTAACTTCATTATGAATGAATTTTTCAAAAAAATTGCTAGTACTTTAAAGTGGCATTGTGCATCCATTTAATTGTTGATCCAAACGTTTTTTTGGTGTTTCTCATGGCAAAACATTGAGTTTATCATTGTTTACAAATTAAGAGTGGGAAAATAAGTGATATTGTTATTATTTGTATTTAGAATTGATAGGAAAAAATTATAGTTGAACTATATTGTAAAAATGTTAGCACCAGATAGTATTGGTAGTGGGTATATTAAACAGATGTATATTTTTGACAGGAATGGAACAAGAAAATACCCACCACATCAGGTAGAAGTGGAAGCCATACAACATAAGACCACTCAGATCTTACATAAAGTTTATTTCCCTGATGACACGGATGAGGTAACTTATTTTCTCTTGTTACAGTAATAGATTTTGATTTACAATGTATTATGCTATGTGCTATATTGAAGGTAATAAAAAATACTTAATTTTTTATTAGCCATGTATCTTTTAATAGATTTAGATGTGATATTTTCCTGTGTTGGCTGCCTGCTATCAGAATGAAAAATTATCATATGGGAAAAAAAACTGTTTGATTATTTGTTACAGATTTCAAACTTACTAGAAACATTTCAGTTTCATAGATAAACTGTAACAGTGTTAAAAGGTTGCCATTTTTATCCTCCTATGCCCTTTAAATTTTGATATATAGTTTACCAGTGGCGTATGACATTTGCGCCAATTTTGAAAATATCAATTTTTTCATTTGCACCAAAACAATGTTTTCATTTGAGCCAATTATTAGTTTTTCATTTGCGCCAATTTGATTTGAACAGGTAAGATCTGATACATTTTAGATACTTACCGTTAATTAGGTTAACCTAACGTACCAGGCATTAGTGGTGTTCAATGAGTACATATCTATGTTATATGTTATATGTACATGTATATAGATACATGTTGAGCTCATTGGTTTAAACACTTCTGTTAACGAGACATTTACATTTTATGAATGTCATAAAGAAAATTCAGGCAACAACTTATGTTTAAATCATATCTCTCAACATAGCAGCAACCATAAGAAAAAATTGGCACAAATGAAAAATAAAATTTGGCGCAAGTGAAAAAAAAATTGTTGCAAATGAAGTGCAGATTTGCAAAACGCCATTTACCAGGAGACTTTTAAGCAGTCGCAGAATGATATTTTTTTCTGAAGCTATGGTTGTTATTAACAAGATCAATAAATAATTTTAGTGGCAAAGAATATTTTTGGCATGCCTTTTGGGTATGTTCATGATTTGTATGCTTTAAAATAGCTGTTAAATGAAGAGAATTGTGAAAGTTTATCCATGTTAACAATCTGATCTGTATTATTTTTTTAGGCATTTGAAGTAGAATCTAGTACCAGAGCCAAAGACTTCTGTCACAATATAGCCACAAAGTTAATGTTAACTTCCTCTGAGGGATTCAGTTTATTTGTCAAAATTGCTGATAAAGGTTTGTAAATTTTAGTGAGAAATCTTTTGGCATATAAAAAAAAAAAAGAAGCTGCCATATTATAATTAGCATGGTTTAGAACAAATTTAAATGTGAAGTTGAGAATATGACAAGACTATCTATATTTGAATATGAAAAAAACTGCTAAAAGTCAATATTTACATTAGAAAATGAAAACAACCTTTTTAACACATGAAAATGGCAGATCTAGTTAAAATACATAAACACATAAAAGGAGGAAAAATTTAAACAGTAGATATAATTAATTTATTATTACAACACCCTATGTAACCAATTGATTTCAAACTGCCTGGAAATATGTTGTATGCTATATTGAATGAAGGTTAGAACATTTATTTTCTATAAAATAAAAAATTTATAGAATGATAATTGAAATAAAACTTACTTTTTGACAGTGATAAGTGTTCCTGAAGGAGATTTCTTCTTTGACTTCGTCAGACATTTGACAGATTGGATCAGAAAAGCCAGACCATCTAGAGATGGTAAGAATCATGCTACAAATTTTATGTTTATTTTTGTTTGATTAAAAACTGAATTTCTACATACTGCAAGTTTTCTGTTTATTTATTGATTTTTTTAATTAATATCTGCATATAATAACTTTTTTCAAGAACCCTGTAGAACACATACAATTATGATAAATGTTTTGTTTTTGTTTGAAAGAACAAATAATACATGTACAGAGGTATTTAAATATGTAAAAGGGGCTTGAGATCTAATGAGACAACTATCCAACATGAAACATAGAACAAGGATGAAAATACTGAATTAAGCATACTTTCTTGTTAAAACCAAAGATAAGATCGTCTTGCACATAATTTTATATTATTTAATTTTTATATAAATTTGCACTTGCAGGGCAGCCACCATCTTTTACATATCAAGTATTCTTCATGAAGAAGTTGTGGACAAACACAGTTCCTGGTAAAGACAGACAAGCTGATATCATCTTCCATTATCATCAGGTAATATACATCACTACATTTGATATTAAAAACTTACTAATAAGCCATCCAATATTTTTTTTATTTAACCTTCTATAGGCAATGGAACCCTGAGTTAGCCTGCAATTGCTGCTGTCAGTGTCAAAGTATAATGTTGACTGCCAAAAACTAAGACCTTTTATCAGTAAATTAAAACCAACTTTAAATGCTCATGTTTGATAATTTTGATGAAGCTTTTATACAAGTTTCATCAAATTCCATGAAGGTTTTACAAAGTTATTGATACCTGAAAAACATTAACCTTACACTGTAACTGAAAATGAAAAACGAATATTTCAAAATTTTGCTCTGAATACTGTCATTTGATAAAAAAAAATGCTTCTGATCAAGTTTTGTAAAATCCATGAAGGTTGACAAAGTTATTGATGTTTAATGATGATGGAATGTAGGATCGCTATGTCTTGCTTCCACGACAAATGTCACAGGCTCAACAATAAATGCTGTTTCATAGCCACCAAGATTAATGGTAATTATTAAATCTTGTGTTTTACATAACATATATTCTTACCTGTACATAAAGTTTTGGAATTCATTTATCCTCTTTATAATTTCTGAAATTGACATTTGATGATATTACTTCTAGGAATTACCCAAACTTTTGAGAGGATATCATAAATGTAGTGAAGAGGAAGCTTCAATACTAGCTGCTTTGATATACAGGGTCAAGTTTGGTGATAATAAGGCTGGCTTAGCAAACATACCGTAAGTAGTAGAGGAGGATTTATGAATAACAAGAGATATATAGTAGATATCAATGAAACAGCAACCCAATGAAGAGAGATATATATAGTAGATATCAATGAGACAGCAACCCAATAACAAGATATATATAGTAGATATCAATGAGACAGCAACCCAATGACGAGAGATATATATAGTAGATATCAATGAGACAGCAACCCGATGAACCTAATCAGATATCTAGAGATCACCATATTGAATTATAAAGATGGACAAGCGATGATGCAATTTGACAAACTCAAATTTAAAAAAATTTAGACAAGTCAAGAAATTTAGCAGACATGACCAAATATTTGACACTAACAAGTCTTAGTTATAAAGAAAATATAAAGAGACTGCAACAACCAATGGTAAAAGTCCTGACTTTGGACAGACACATAAATATTTAGTATGGTTGTTTTATCAAACACCCTATTTTTATCTTGATAAATGGAATAACATATAATATAGTCGAGTTTGCACAATAAAAAAGGTTGCACAATAAAAATCGAATTGCTAAAATGTACTTCTTAAGTTAATTATATCAGTATTAAGAGTACAAAAACATGCCCTCATTTCCCAGAAAATCTGAGGACTTAAAGTGATAATAAGTCACGAAAAATCAGTACACTAAAATATCATCAGCTTTTCTGTGAACCATGGGCTGGTTTTTAGATACAGATTTTTAGTTCATGGACTATTGTAGTATGATTGGTGTTTATGTCTGTGACAGCCAAGTCTCAGAAACTTAATAAGCATACAGCCATATAATTTGTTGTGCAGATGCATCTTAGCAAGACCGACCATGTGCCATAAGCTGAATGTCACATGACCCATATTTCATGGTTGGGTGACAATGATTATGTTTTAAATCTGTATTACTTACATGCATATATATTACATCTTCCAAGAAAAATAAAGGGGACTTTGACCAATATTTTACGTTCACTTTGCCCGATATTTAGATAGTCTGCTTTAGTTTAGTTTTTTAAGATACCTGGTATTATTTTGAATAAGGAAATTGATGTCGAACATTTAATTATCTCTTTTAATTTCAGATGAGATTTTTCATATGCATATAGATAATGACATCAAACTTTACTTATAAAATGTTATTTGTTTTAGGCGTTTATTACGAGAGCTAGTTCCGAGTGATTTAGTAAAGAAACAATCACCAGATGACTGGAAACGGGTAAGACTTACTTTTCCCTTATAAGCAGAAAAATTGGTAAATTGGTATTATAATGTGTATTGTCAGATGGGTCTCAATATTGCTTGATTGATTGTTGTTGGGTCCAGTAGTAAATTTGAACATTGAAATTTGTAAATGAATGTGACAATGAAAAAATACAAAAATTGAAATCTGATAACAGCAGTTGAAAAAACTTGTTATTAGATAGAAATGACTATCTGTAAATAAGTGCAGTGTTTATGCTTTACAAGGGACAAACAATAGGCAATATTTTCTTTTATTTACAGTTTCCTGTTGCCTTAGTAATCTTTAAAAAAAATGTCTGAAAAAAATCCAAGTTGATATTATATCATATACTCTAAAAACTTAGACATAAAATCCAAATTCAAACAATATGCAAAAAAGAATATACAGGTAGAAAAACAAGGCTGCAACTGTTTACCTATGTCTGATTTGAGACAGGTACAATATTATTTATTGTTCCATCTTTGATATAAGAGGGTATTATGTTTTTTTGGTCTCTGCATCTGTCCTATATTTTATATATGCATTATTCAGTTTGTCTGTCCCATATCAGATTAAAGTTTTTGGTTAAGGAACTTTACCAAGAAGTTGATGCCACATCAAACTGAAACTTAGTACACATGTTCATTATGATACCAACTTTTAAAATAATTTGCCAATTTATGGTTTTGACCTTGATTGTTAAGTTTACTGAACATGGAAAAATGAGTGTGGAGCCTGGCATCATGTCCTATATTCCTGTTTGTCAAGTGATCAAAAAAGTACTATTAGTGTTCAGTGATCAGATTTCTTGAATTTTATTTTGTTTCAGGGCATAATAACCCATTTTAACAAAAATGGTGGAATGTCTCCTGAAGATGCAAAGATTGAATTCTTAAAGGTGATTTACAAATGGCCAACATTTGGTTCTGCATTCTTTGAAGTCAAGGTAAGATATGTCGATTGACAATTCCAGATATTATACATTATACTATTATCTCTTTTTTTTTTTTGGCACCATAAATTTTAAGATATTGTTGATATTAAAGCAAATAAAAAGTAATTTGCTGTATTTATTAATGGGGAAAAATTTGTATGCCCTTTTTAAATGTATCAAGATTTCAAATGTTTTTTTTTTTGGGGTAAAGATTGCATGAAATGCAATCAAACCGTATGGTACTGACTTGATGTCTATATCTTCCTAGGTTGATCACTACCAAAAAAAGTGCAGTGAAGTGATCATTATTTAGATCCTATCTAGTCAATGTCATGCAATTTATTGATGATAATACTTTGATATTTAAGTTACAATATGATGTGTATTTAAATTACCATACTTGTGAAGAAAACATTTTTTATGAAAAATTACACAAGTAATGCATGGTGTATGAATCTGTTATAAAAATAGGTTCAACTACAAATGTATAATCTTGAACAAAGGAAGATAACTCCAACTCAAATTTTTAATTTGCTAAGCAAAATAATTCAATGTTTTATTTAAAAATTCACAAAATTGCAAAATAAAAGCAATCTTTAACCTTCAGTGCTCACAAGCACTTTGAATAGAAGTTATATTATGTCAGATTGCCATTGGTTTGATAAACGTATTTACACTTTTGGTAGTTAGCTCTGAATAACCTTCTGACGTCGAGCATTGTGATGTCAAATTTTACAGGAACTTGTGTGATTTTAAGTAATGGCGGACAAATTTGCATACAAGTGTAAATACGTCTATACGAAATCCTTTTTTGTAAAAAAAAAAAGAATGAAATTATGTAGTCAAAAATTAGTTTAAATATGTCAAGTGTTATTACAAGAATTGCTCAGGCAGTAAACCAGAGGTAAAGATACCTTAATTAGACTGTTTTACCTGATCAGAAGGGATTTCAATATATAACATTTTTCAAATACCTCTTGAACAAGTTTATATTGAACTTGCACTAAAATTGTCATGGCACATGAATGTGTTATGCTGTATGAAAAGAAGATACAAAGAGGAGACCAATTAAACATGAATAGAAAAAATAGTCAAGACATGGCCTAGTGGAAGAAGATAAAAAATGGACCACACAACATTACTCAGAAAACTTAAGATTGAGCAAAATTATCTAAAGTAAAAAAAAAGGAGTGAACTCTGGTGCTTTTGAAGGGTTAGCGGTTCCTATTGTTTTGGTGCCTGTTCGTGTTACTCATGATAAGACCAGCAGTTAGTCAAAATAGTGACAAATTCATTGGTGATGAAAGTAGGAAGGGATTGTAACTTTGACAGAACTATCAATAGTTATCATTATCAGATATTTGAGAATGGTCAATTAAATCCTGTTGGTGACAGTCGGAAGAAGAAAACATAATTGATAAAGAATTAAAATTAAGTAAATATCAGTATGTGAAAGTTTCTATTTTTTTTTCTTATAGCAACAGACAGAGCCACAGTATCCAGAGATTTTATTAATTGCAATTAACAAAAATGGAATGAATCTAATTGATCCTAAATCAAAGGTATAAAATATCTATATGGTATCCTCAGTTATTTGTTATATCTACTGTTTGCAATTTATAACAAAAGCTTTTATTTTATGAATCAAGTTTCATTGTGTACAGAACATTTGGCATTTAAAAAATCCATTTTGACCACAATTGACAGGAAAATAGCAAAGAGCATTTTATTTTTAATCACTAGTATATTTTGTTGACTAAATTCCATTGAGTTTCACATAATACAAATTATAAGCAATTGCTGAATATTTATTATATCATTTAATGATTTAGAAAAGTTTACAAAATTACTTGTTGAGCTCAGAGATTACTTGAATTGAAAATCTTGACAGCAATGTTATATTTTAACAGAAAAGGAAATTTAAACTATCTAGGACATTACAAGGTAGACACAAATGCTTATGAAATATAAAACAAAGAATAGTATCTGATCTACTTAACAAATAATCTATAAACTGTCTTCCTTTTACAGGATATCCTAGCCACACATCCATTTACAAAGATATCAAACTGGAGTAGTGGTAATACTTATTTCCATACCACTATTGGTAACTTAGTACGAGGAAGTAAATTGTTGTGTGAAACATCATTGGTAAGTTGTAAAGTAGCTGTATAGTAAGGGGAAGTAAAAGAGACGCGAAAGACACCAAAGAGACATTCAAACTCATAAGTCAAAAATAAACTGATAACACCATGGCAAAAAAAAAGAAAAGACCAAAAGACAGACAACAGTACACAAAACACAATAAACTTAATTAGGGGAAGTAAATTGCTGTGTGAAAAATCATTGGTAAGTATAAGTAACCATACCACTATTGGTAACTTAGTACAAAGAAGTAAATTATTATGTGAAAAATCATTGGTAAGTTGACAAGTAACTTTATAGTAAGGGGAAGTAAATTACTGTGTGAAACATCATTGGTAAGTATAAGTAACCATACCACTATTGGTAACTTAGTACGAGGAAGTAAATTACTAAATTACTCTGTGAAACATCATTGGTAAATTTTCAAGTAACCATACCACTAATAGTAACTTAGTACGAGGAAGTAAATTACTGTGTGAAAAATCATTGGTAAGTTGACAAGTAACTTTATAGTAAGGGGAAGTAAATTACTCTGTGAAACATCATTGGTAAGTTGAAAAGTAACTTTATAGTAAGGGGAAGTAAAATACTCTGTGAAACATCATTGGTAAGTTTTCAAGTAACCATACCGCTATTGGTAACTTAGTACCAGGAATCTAATTGCTGTACATGTTCTACTGTCTTACTTTATTCTTAGAAAAAGAAACATGGTATTGCATATATTAATAGAAAAGTGAAAAAGGATTTATTAACTTTAAATATGAATGTGTCAATTGAAAACAAATTTAGATGGAGAAAATGACACCGTAATGTACATTGCTATATTTCTTATTATTATTTTAGGGTTATAAGATGGATGATCTGTTGACCTCATACATTAGTTTAATGTTGACAAATATGAATCGTCAAAAGACAATAAAGAAGTGATCTTCAATGTATTAAATCAAGAGAGAAAGAAAGACTGTCTTGGAGAATGGCAGGATTTTTCAACAGGACAAGTTTATTGTTTCTGTAATGGGCTGTGATGATTAAATTTTTCAGTGTAAAATAAATTTTACAACTTGATTTTTCTTTAAAAAAGTTAAAATGGCCAGAGTAGATATTTTATTGGCAACAGAAGTAGAATTGTGGAATTCTTGTTTCAGAAAAATTGTGCTGTTTTGACTACAAATATGCATATTAATAAACTTACAAAATATCTTAATGGTTTTGAAGTTGAATACAAAATGTTTTAAATCAACCACTGAACTTTTTTCATTTATTTCATTCATTTAAACATAAATATAATTTAATAAGCAGAAAAAAATTGTCAAAAATATATTAGTAATTAAATGGTGTTAATAAATTACAAAAGTAGTTTGAATTGTATAATATGATAAACTTTACCAGGTATACACACTTCAGTCACACAAAACATATGTAAACAATGCATTTTGATAATATATTCATTAAGATGTATTTCATTGCATTTCTTTTCCTGGTTTTCCTTAGATATACTAGGGATTTTTAAAATATGTTAGAATTAAACATTCTGATAAGGTATATGATAGAATCATATGTCAACAGAACATTCCAGTTACAAGTTTTTCCCCCTTCTGTTTTTTCTGGGGGACAGTTTTTCACTTACCAAAGTGTTCAACATATTATGATACCATCAACATATTATATTAAACAATACAATGAAAACATGACCTCATATTTATACTTACATAAAGTACAAGTGTGTCTCCTTGGCTCAAGATTTGTTAATTTGTATGATGTTTATGTTTTGTTTACTTGCTGTTTGTTTTTGTTCTATATTTTTTTGTTTAGTGTTTAATATATGCAATCATTTAACTTTGGCAAAACATTTCTTTCAAAGATTATTGAGCTTTTAGAAAAGCTATGATTGGTCTTTAAAAGAAGAACATGTTTTAGTTTTAGCAAACATTCCAAGAAACCTGTATTGTGTTTTAAAAATATATGTATTGAATTGCCTTACTAATATAATGAAATCCAGGTAGGACATGATTTTATCCATATCTTGCAGTGCGATATATATATATTTAATATTTACTTATAAGTTTCTGTTTTCTATTATTGCAAAAGTTGTTATTTGCTATCATATTTTTTCTGTTGAAAAATCGATAGTAATTGTGTAGCATTACTACTACTGATTTCGTTTAAAAATTCCAGAAAAATAATATTGATGCTAAGTAGAAACTGACTTTTACTAAAGTCTTGTATAATCTAGAAAAAAATTGTAATGATTGGTTTTCTGTACAAAAGGGAAAGAGTTCACTGTAGACTTGTAATTGTTTCTTTCAAGTTCCCTTCATCTTGTTATGTATTTTACAGTGAATGAAAATCATGTGATATTAATTGTTTACAGACATATCAAAATACATAATAGTGATATTTTAAATCATATGACATTATACATAGCCATTATATTTCTAACATTGAAGGGTGATATATATATATTTATATATATATTTGTGACAAAAATACATATCTATAAATTTTTATTTTATACAATTGTTATCATGACAGTAACTAACATTTGGTTGTGACTGAATTTGTAAAATTTGAACTATAATTATACAGTTGATAATTTATATAAAATAATTCACATCTTAATAAAGTATTTATTAAATAATTTTCAAAGTTTTGTGTTTATTATTTCATTTAACCACAAGAAATTTGGGAGTTAAAAGCACAAGATACCTGTTTGTCCAGTTCTTTTGTTATACTCCCACCAAACAAAGTTTTTAGGTTTTTTTCTAGGATTTACCCTGTCCACCTGTCAATGTGCCATGTAAGCAAAGCTCCTCCTACTAGAGAGATAGACAGATTTTGATGCTGCTTTACATAGTTGTAGAACCTGTGAATATGCATGAAGGGATATAATCCCAGTCCAACATGCTAATGTTTCAGATGAAGAACAGCAATAAAAGCGCTGTTCCTTTGCTTTTTGTGTGTTTTTTGCTGCGCATGTACTGATTTTGTGTCATGGATGGATATATATATACCCCATATCCTTTGTTTTTCTACTAATCGGAAGATAATGGAATTTACTTATTAAAATATTGCAATGTGTGGTAAAAGTATAAACTCCTTAACAGCTAGAGGGATATTGATAAAACTTTACACAGTTGTAGAATACTACCTCAGCATATGCTTACAGGAATATTGTCCTTGTCTAACAGGGTATTTACATGTTGCAATATGTGGAAATAACTTGTAAGCCCAACACCTCCTAAATGGCTTGACTTGGGTGTAACCTTTTAGTAAGTTAACTTGATCTCCATTCTAGTTTTTATCATTTCTTATATACCTGTTATCAACATGACATATTATGGTATACCGTAGTCTGTCATTCCATTTGTTCATCTGTCCTTCCATCCATCTGTCTGTAGGCCAACATGTTGTATGATAACTCAAATTTGCTTTGCCCAATTCTTTTAAGATTTTAACAGAACATTAGGATTGACAGAAGATTTAAGGTAATTTTTCAAGTAGTGCACACCAACTGAAGTTTCTTCTGATCAATTTACTTAAAACTGTATGCTATTGTTTGTTAGGAGTGACGAGACATAGCGATCCTACATTCCGTCGGCGGCAGCGGCTTCCACAAATATTCACTCTGTGGTTAAAGTTTTTGAAATTTTAATAACTTTCTTAAACTATCCTGGATTTCTACCAAACTTGGACAGAAGCTTGTTTATGATCAAAAGCTAGTATCTAGAAGGATATTTGTAAAAATATATTTCCTGTTTTTCCTTATATTAGTTTTTCTGCCAGTTAACATTACATTCACTCTGTGATTAAATTTTTTTAAATTTTAATAACTTTCTTAAACTATCCTGGTTTTGTACCAAACTTGGACAGAAGCTAGTTTATGATCAAAAGCTAGTATCTAGAAGGAAGTTTTGTAAAAATATATTTCCTGTTTTGATACGACCGCAAAAAATTTTGCGGTCATATATTGGTATGACGTTGGCGTCGTAGTCGTCCGAAGACACATTGGTTTTCGCACTCTAACTTTAGTTTAAGTGAATGGATCTCTATGAAATTTTACCATAAGGTTCAATACCACAAAAAGAAGGTTGGGATTAATTTTGGGGTTATGATACCAACTGTTAAGGAATTAGGGGCCAAAAATATGCATTTTTGTAACTTCCAGACATTACTTGTGTGTTAGTGTATGGATCTCTCTGACATTGTACCACAAGATTCCATATCACAAAGGGAATACTGGGATTGATTTTGGGGGTAATTGCCTCCAAATTTTAGGAATTAGGGGCCAAAAAAGGGGCAAAAAACAAGCATTTTCTAGTTTCATGACAATAACTTGTGTGTAAGTGTATGGATCTTTCTGAAATTGTACTACAAGGTTCCATATCACAAATGGAAAGCTGGAATTGAGTTTGGGGGTAATTGCCCAAAACGTTTAGGAATAAGGGGCCAAAAATAAGCATTTTTCTAGTTTCCAGACAATAACTTGTGTTCAAGTGTATGGATCTCTCTGAAATTGTACTGCAAGGTACCATACCACAAAGGGAAGGCTGGGATTGATTTTTGGGGTAATTGCCTCAAAATTTTAGGAATTAGGGGCCATAAAGGGAAAAAAACAAGCATTTTTTCTAGTTTCAGGACAATAACTAGTGTGTAAGTGTATGGATCTTTATGAAATTGTACTACAAGGTTCCATATCACAAAGGGAAAGCTGGGTTTGAGTTTGGGTGTAGTTGCCATAAACATTTGGGAATTTGGGGCCAAAAAGGGGCCAAAAAACAAGCATTTTTCTAGTTTCCATACAATAACTTGTGTTCAAGTGTATGGATCGCTCTGAAATTGTACTGCAAGGAACCGTACCACAAAGGGAAGGCTGGGATTGAGTTTGTGGGTGATGAATCATAAGGGGGTTCAAAAAATTTGGGGGGGGGGGGGGGAGGTTTCCTTTTTTTTCTTTAAAATTTTCCATTTTAAATTGGTTATTTCTGATTTATATATAAAAGCAAATAATAATGATATGGTTTGAATAGGTAAATTAAAAATTTTTAAGTTCTTAGACCACATTTATTCTGTGTCAGAAACCTATGCTGTGTCAAATATTTAATTACAATCCAAATTCAGTGCTGTATCAAGCTTGAGTGTTGTGTCCATACTTGCCCCAACTGTTCAGGGTTCGACCTCTGCAGTCGTATCAAGCTGCGCCCAGCGGAGCATTTTATTGAAGTATATACTTGCATAAGAGGTGCATAGCGTTTCCGGATAACTCCTCCTACTGTGAACCATAGACCCATGTGCTCCCATGCTCAACTTTGTGTATTTTAAAATAACACTTTGCATCTGCGGGAGCATCATTTGTGTCTCCCAGACACAATAATATTTCAAAGAAAGTCCTTCGTTGACTTTGTTATAATACAGTTACTTCATAGTGGAGTGCTGAGGCATCACTTTGTCTAGTTTATTGTCGAGCCTGCGACTTTTGTCGCAGAAAGCTCGACATAGGGGTAGTGATCCGGCGGCGGCGGCGGCGGCGGCGGCTACGGCGGCGGCGGTGTTAGCTAACTTCTTAAAAGCTTTATATTTTAGAAGGTGGAAGGTCTGGATGCTTCATACTTTGTATATGGATGCCTCATGTTACGAAGTTTCCGTCAGTCACATGTCCAATGTCCTTGACCTCATTTTCATGGTTCAGTGACTACTTGAAAAAAAAGTTAAGATTTTTTGTAATGTTAGATTCTCTCTTATTATAAGTAATAGGATAACTATATTTGGTATGTGCGTACCTTGCAAGGTCTTCATGCCCGTCAGACAGTTTTCACTTGACCTCGACCTCATTTCATGGATCAGTGAACAAGGTTAAGTTTTGGTGGTCAAGTCCATATCTCAGATACTATAAGCAATAGGTCTAGTATATTCGGTGTATGGAAGGACTGTAAGGTGTACATGTCCAACTGGCAGGTGTCATCTGACCTTGACCTCATTTTCATGGTTCAGTGGTTATAGTTAAGTTTTTGTGTTTTGGTCTGTTTTTCTTATACTGTATGCCATAGGTCTACTATATTTGGTGTATGGAATGATTGTAAGGTGTACATGTCTAGCGGGCAGGTGTCATCTGACCTTGACCTCATTTTCATGGTTCAGTGGTCAAAGTTAAGTTTTTGAGTTTTGGTCTTTTTTTCTAATACTATATGCAATAGTTCAACTATATTTGGTATGTGCGTACCTTGCAAGGTCCTCATGCCCGTCAGACAGTTTTCACTTGACCTCGACCTCATTTCATGGATCAATGAACAAGGTTAAGTTTTGGTGGTCAAGTCCATATCTCAGATACTATAAGCAATAGGTCTAGTATATTCGGTGTATGGAAGGACTGTAAGGTGTACTTGTCCAACTGGCAGGTGTCATCTGACCTTGACCTCATTTTCATGGTTCAGTGGTTATAGTTAAGTTTTTGTGTTTTGGTCTGTTTTTCTTATACTGTATGCCATAGGTCTACTATATTTGGTGTATGGAATGATTGTAAGGTGTACATGTCTAGCGGGCAGGTGTCATCTGACCTTGACCTCATTTTCATGGTTCAGTGGTCAAAGTTAAGTTTTTTGAGTTTTGGTCTTTTTTTCTAATACTATATGCAATAGTTCAACTATATTTGGTGTATGGAAATATTTTATGATCTATTTGGCAGTCACGCAGGTTTTATTTGACCTTGACCTCATTTTCAAGGTTCATTGCTCAGTGTTAAGTTTTTGTGTTTTGGTCTGTTTTTCTTAAACTATAAGCAATAGGTCAACTATATTTGTTGTATGGAAGAATTGTTAGCTGTACATGCCTGCCTAGCATGGTTCATCTGACCTTGACCTCATTTTCATGGTTCACTGGTCAATGTTTAGTTTACTTGGTTAATGTTAAGTTTATGTGACAGTTGTAATAAAGCTTTATATTTAGGACTATCAACATAATATCAATGATTAGTAAAGAAGGCGAGACATTTCATGGTGTGCACTCTTGTTTGTTGTTACACAGTTATTTGACTTTAACCGTCATATTGAAGGAAATTTTTAATCGCACACCGTTTGGCTTGGATTATTGTTGGTATTGGTAAAAGAAAGGTTTTTTTTTTTTTTTATTTTGGAAAATTTCATATTTCTTATTCTAAAGTTATTAGACTTTAAACTTATAAAAAAAAAGTAAAAGAAAAAAAAAATTTAAACTGAAGATTTAAGGTAACTTTTCACATGTCAGAGTCTAGCTCTAGTATGCTTGGATCAAATAACTACAAAATGATATTATTGTAACCTTCAATTTCCGATTTTGATATTAACTTTAAATTGATTTAAAATTTACTTACAAAATTTCAGTAAATTGGTGTTCTGAAAATGTTCTTGGGTAATTTTTGCTCTATATACATGTACAAGTATAGAATACATGTAATAAGAAAGTGAATACTGTTTAGGACTGCTTTAGTGAAAAGTATAAAATAATAAAACTACCGAACTCCAAGAGAAATTCAAAACAGAAAGTCTCTTTATAAAATGGCAAAATCAAAAGCTCAATCGCATCAAACGCATGGAAAATAAATGTCACATTCCTGACTTGGTACATTTTTGTACAGGCATTTCCTTATGTAGAAATGATGGATTAAACCTGGTTTTA